CGGACTAAGTGACCATGCAGTTCCGGGGCCACTGATGTGGCTGGCAGGGTATCACTTAGCCCTAACCTCAGGTGCCTTAGCCAACTAGGGGTTAAAAGCCACACTATTACAAGAACTCAGAACAGATGCATATGTAGGACTGACAGTAGCATAAGAGAAACACATAACACGACAGTAAGGCAGAGGAGTAAAGCAATACTGAGAAGGGTTCAGAGGTAATCACACACAAAAGCGTATCAAATTGGAGAACAATCACACACAAGCAGTCAAGGAAATCAATTTCACAGATAAACAGTGGGCCAAGTCGACACAGATTGGACCACTCATGCAAACTCGAACCAGCACCTAGGGTTCTGCAGATCTGTTCTAACAGATACTGCACATGCAATGGCTTATCTAGGGTTTCTACCCGTTAGAGTGTTACTCAGAGAGAACACATCTACCCATGCAGCAAAGAGGCCGGTGGCACTCCGGCAGCCCAAGGTTAGGGTTTCAGATTTATACCTAAGCGGGTGTCAGTGAGAGACAACCCGACTTACCAATCTCCGATGGAGCTCCAGGCATTACCAGGTGTGTGAGTTCTCCGACGAGCTTCCGGGGTCAGTGAGAGGCACCAGCATCCAAGCTCTGATACCAATGTTGGGAATCCGTTCCAGCTCAAACCTCAATCACCAAAAGCCCAAAGGCTTGCTCACATTCACCACCAGGGTTGCAACAGGGAAGACGAAGGGCAACAGTAAACAACCCTCACACAATAACCCCAACCCAGACCCAAAACCAGAAGACCCACCGGAGATATAACCCACCACACTACCAGACTAGAGTGAAGACCCCGATAGGAACCCCAAGGTCTCACCGGAGCATAGCCGGAGCTAAAGCTCAGATGGAACCGGCACTCTCTCACTCTAGGTTTAGGGTAACTGATCGAGAAGCTCATCGGTTAGAGAGAAGGAGGAGCGGGTGAAATAGGGAGTTCGAGAAGGAACCAGACAAGTATATCAAGGGCCACACAAGTCACGGGCTGGGTGGAAAACAAATTGGGCGAATGAGCTTGGTTGGGTAGGCAGCCCAATTGGGCCAGGGTAATTAATAGGAGACCAATTCCTTAAATGAGGTGGACCAAAGGCAACTCAGGGATGGCCTGAGTGAGGTGGACCAATACCATCAACAAAATCTTTAATTGATGAGACTAATAATTGATACTCGTGGTCTAAAAATGTGCACCAAGTAACAATCGAATAATGAACTGTTAGTTTGATCCAATTTCTACCCGTCTCTGTGATGCTTCTCATATTTTTTATGCGAGAAATTCTTTAGTAGCTGTCGGGCATAAAGTGAAGAGAAAACTAATGATCACTCCGAATCTATGAATGAGGATGGATTTTTTTGGAGCAGTTTTGGTGTGCCAACTTTAATTTGTACAATTTTAAAGAGATGTTCGGAGCAAACTACAAGACAGCACTTCTACGGTTCTACTGTGATGCATTGTGAAAAGGAATCAATCTGACACTCATGACAAAGCTGCATGTTATACGATCAATCAAGAGTTAAAAGACGGTTCACTCCAAAGCAAGTTCTACCGACTTGATGAATCACGACTCGTCGTTATTGTAGAAATCGTCTTAGAACTTATTTGAGTATTAGCAATTCTTTGTTTTGATAGTTACGGATAAATTTGGCATAATTTTAATTTTAAGTTATGTATTCTCCCTATTGTATTATTCATCAATATATAGTTATTTCAGTTTGTTATTTTTTTACTTGAACGTAATCTTTCTTTCCATCATCTAGCACTAATTTTAATTTAAAATAACTAATAATTATGAAATCTACTCCGCATATTTTTATTTTTTTATTAATGTGAAAACTATACTCACTAAATTAGTTTAGTGACAAATTAAAATAGGTGCCAATTATTATGGTGCGGTTAACAGGTGACTGAGGTGAGCATTAAGAAATTTGTCACCCATTTTCTCACTTTATTGTAAAGTGAGTAAATTACTCACCACTATAATGGAGTGACAATAATTTGGCACCAAGAATTAGGCACTACATTCTATAAGTGACTAAAGTAGTGACTAATATGATTTCTCACCCCCATTTCTAAATAATGAGTGACTAAGATAGTGCCTAATGACTATTATTTTTGTAGTTTAAAGACTCAATTAACATTCTAAACTTTCATTGTAAAATAAATAATGTTACCCCAATCTATATAATTGCAACACATTTAATTTGCTATTTTAAATTATGAAATTAACCTCAAAATTTTTATTTTTAAAAGAAATATAACATGACAATGGTGTGAAAATAAGTTTTTAAAGTTTGGGGTATTTTTTATTACATTTGAAAGTTTAGGGTGTTTACCTCACACCCCTTCAAAGTTTGAAGTATTTTTATTATATTCCCCATTTAACATAGTATCCGAGCCAGGTTTGATTATTGTTCAGCACTCATGATTAAATGTGAGTCATTAAATGTCTGTTTAACCCATTTATACACCTCGATAGTGTCTATTCGAGTTTGGGCTGAGGAGGCACGTTGAAGTATCTGTTCGTGAGGATGAGTGTTAAAATAAATCCCACACCTGTAAAATATGAATTAATAAAGTGTAATATTAATAGTATGTGCTATTCCTCCGATATTAATATTATGTGATATTCCTCCTACAAGTGAAATAGATGTGTACTTGTAAGTTAGTGATGAGGTGAATTCTCAATTCGTTGGCAATCATCCGAATAAAGTTATCAGTGTTCTCAAAAGTTAAAGTTATTAGTAATTAATAAGATTTTTTTTGAAAGAATAGTAATTAATAAGATGAAAATATTAACACACAATATTCAAATATAATATTAAAATATAAGATTAAGTTTGTCCTTTTGGTAAAATCACGAATGTCAAGACTTTGCCTTCCACAGAATGCCACCCATATTCTTCCTTCAGCCGAACTCCCAGAGAGCAGGGAGCAAGTAGCATCGATCATAACTTCAGGCCGGATTTCAGCAAGCGAGCAGCGCCTCCTTCAACAACTCCTAGGACACCAGCGAGCAGCACAATAACGAAGACCTTTAGCATTGGAGTTGTAATTAATTGCAAAAATACCCGACTGTATCATGTCCTAGGTACAGCCGGCTGTACCGCCTGTACGGTGTAATTTGCGTGATTTCTTAATAATGTATGTAATCGTGGTTTAAAACAAAACATTAATGGGTTAGCCGACTGATAATTTTTTTATTTGACTTAATTGATGGTGGCAAAACAAAAACTGCATTGGGACAAACTATGTGGCAAACATCAACTCGTACTTCCATGAGTACTGCTCATCCATCACATCCTTCTGGATGGAGGCCCTCCTTATGTGCATCTCTTATATTTCCATATTTTTTAATTCTTGCAACATTGTAATTTTTATACTATTTGCATGGCTTACTCTGACAACGATTTTCTACTAATATACATAAGCAATTATTGTGTATAAAATGTTTAGGGCTGGACTCGGGCCGGGCGGCCCGACCCGGGACCGAACCGGCCCGGTCATTGTTTGGCCCGGCCCGGCCCGTGGCCCGGGGGGTCCACCGGTTCGGTTTGGCCCGGCCCGGGTGCTGGGCGGTCCGGGCTCGGGCCCAGGTTTTGGTGAACCGGCCCGGCCGGTTCGGGCCCGGTCCGGGCCGGATTTTAATTTTTTTTTTTGAATTTTTTTTAAGTTTTAGGTTGGATTAGGTATTTTGGGCCATTTAAGGTGGTTTGGGATGGTTTGGGGTTGAGGGGGAGGGGTAGGGGATTAAATAGGAGAACAAAAAAAATTAATTGGGCCAGTTCGGCCCGGCCCGGCCCGGTTTGGCCCGGAACCGGAACCGGCCACCGGCGGTTCGGGCTCGGGCCTCCCCTTTCCTGGCCCGAGGCCCGGCCAGGCCCGAACCGGCCCGAGTCCAGCCCTAAAAATGTTATTGAATTTCTATCAATGTGATTTCTAAAATATCAACTTTTATAATGATTACTAATACATAATTAAATATAATTACAGTCAAAGTTAGGTCTGGACTCCGGCCGGTCGGGCCTCCAGTTTTGGAATGGGGGGCCCAAAACCGGCCCGGGTAATCCCCGGTTCTGGTTTGGGCCAGGCCGGGCCAGGCCTCGGGCCTTTGTTAATTTTTTTCCTTTCCCTAGTTAACCCCAAAACCCCCCTCCCTCCCTCACCCCAAACCACCCCAAATGGCCCAAAATACCCGGCCCAACCCGAAAAGTAAAAAAAATTGAAAAGAAAAATTAAAAAGACCCGGAACCGGGCCGGTTCATGATTTGGGGGGGTACGAGCTCGGACCGGAACCCACACGGGTCGGGCCTACCCGGACCGGTCACTGATCGGCCCCCCGGGCCGGGCCGGAACAGTGCCGGTTCCGGGTCGGGCCACCCGGCCCGAGTCCAGGCTTAGTCAAAGTTGTGCATTGGCAAACGTGAAAGTCAAACCAGGGGTGGATTCGGGTCGGGCCACCCGGCCCGTTACTGTGCAGGACCGGGACTGGCCCTGTTCTCGGGTTCGGGTCCGAGTCGGGCCTAGGCCCAGTGGGGTGGGGCGGGTCCGGGCTCGGGTCTTACATTTGGCGAACCGGCCCAAACGGGTCAGGCCCAGGCCAAATTGAGATTTTTTTTTTCATTTTTTAGGGTTCCATCCAGGTTGGGCTTGATGGTTAGGAGGGGTATGAGGGGTTCGAGGGGGTGGGGGGTGAGGGGGGGGATTTGGAAAGCCAAAGAAAAAAAAAACCAAACCGAAGGCCCGGACCGGGCCGGACCCGGTGGCTACCTGGGCCGGTCTCGGGTCCACCAATTCTGAACCGCCGGCCCGGCCCGAGGCCATGCCTGAGTCAAACTATTGTAAGAATTAAAGGAGGATGTAAATTATGGTAACTCAGCTAACAGTAAGAACTTTTGACATTAAGATATTTGATTATTTGATAACAGATAACCACACCTACAAATTACCCCATAAACGAAACAATAAGCAGCATAGCAACAATACTTATTAAAACTCCATGTTGAAATTCGTACTCGAGAATTCTCTTTGATTAAATAAAAGTGGGATACTAATTATTCATTTTGAATAAAAAAAAATTGGTGCTTTAGCTACATGAAAGTTTTAAAGTTAAACCAGGAAAAATATAAAAATTAAAAGAATGAAAAATAGAATAAAATAATAAAGAATGAAAAATAAACTACTTGTATATTTAAATCATAATTAATTTCCATTGTTGTCTAATAAGGTAGAATTCTTCCTCGTTTTTGATGGATTAAGGGGATCCTGTGCAAACTGGCGAGCTGTTCGAGCCTGCAGTTCCTCCAAGCTCTCGCCTTCTTTGGCAATCTCAATGACCTGAAAACCAAATATCCTCTTTAAATACAGCAATGAACACACAGAATAGCAAGCAAAAAAAAATAGCAACGGAAGTTCTATATATGAAACTCTTTAAAGTTTAAGCCATCAGAACATAACAGTCCATTGAATAAACATACCCGTTGCATCTATATTTAATGGGCATACAAAAATAGAATATGATTGTCAATAATTCATAGAAATTCATAGCAAGCTTAAAATCTTGGCTTAGCTTAACCATGTGTAAGTCCTTACAATTCTTTAATAGAAATTCTAGCTGGATAATACTTCGTATATTCGGAAGGCAAATAATGCCTTTCAATATGATCATAAAGCTCAGAATAGCGCAACTATAGTTAGATCTATAAAAGCAGAATTACGAACATGGAGCCTAAGCTTAAATGACACAGTACTAGATGATAAAGCACAAAAGCTCTGCCATTAAGGCTTTAAATCAGCTGCACCAAACCACCCCCTTGTGCACTAAAACTTAATATAGATGCAGCATACAATAATGGGATAGCAATAGCAGGTGGGATTCTGAGAGATTTCAATGCACTAAAACTTAATGTAGATGCAGCATACAGTAATGGGATAGCAATGTGCTTTCATTGCAGCACATTGCATTCTTCTGTCCAGAAATTAGCTCCCAGCTCATCTACTAGCGGAAAAGTTTTATTGATGCCTTATCCATACCAAGTCCAAATAAAAAGATAAAATGCACATTCCAAGAAGCTCTGAATTTGATTCCTGATATTAAGCATTTATCTATTGCCCTATTTTACATAGCAACCAACAATTCAAGAACTTTTAACACCGAGGAGAATCAAACGAACATAGTATATACCCTCGGTACCAAATACTCTCACAAATATGGTGTCTATGAGTGACGTCAGACTTACCAGATGGCGGCCATATAAATGGGTATTCGAAAGGGCTTGAAGGGCATCTGCAGCTTCTTTAACGGTTACATACTCCACAAAGGCGAAACCTCGGTGATTCCCATCTCCAAACCTCTTTGGCAGCCTCAAACGCTTCACCAGTACTCTCACAGATTAGACAAGCCCCAACTTACTTTTCAGCATTTAAAAAAGAAGACTTCTTGTAGCAAGATTTTTTAAAAGTGAACTTAGTCCATCCTGAGAAATCTAAAATACTAATGGTGTATAAAATAAAAGGGCATTACCTGACCAAATGAACTGAATAGCTGTCTAAGATCTTTCTCAGTTGATTCAAAAGCAACATTCTTTACAATCAATTTTTTTGAACCCTTCACACGTCCAAATTTTTTGTGTCCATTAAGTTCATCCTTTTTAGCTTGGCATAATTGCAATGTGAGGGCATGTTGGTCCAACACAGTACCCTGCTTATAGAAGACCAGAAAAATTGATGAAGACTGTTCTTAAATTCATGACATGTTAGTTAATGAATGTACAAAAAGATCAGGAGTGACAGACTATGGCCTAATGCTTTAAACTCTATTGAAAGCGTTAGTATATTACCTGCATATCTTTGTAGATTTTCAATGCTGTATCAACAGAATCAAATTCTATGAACCCGAACCCCATTGATACAATTTTTCCATCTTTGATACGCTTCTTTATCTGAATAAAATTATACAGCAATAACAAAAAAAATTACACAGGACAACATTGACTAATGACATCAAAAACAAAAACACATAACAGGATAAGGTACCAGAAATACCTACCGTGACACTAAATATTATTCCTTCCGTCATGCGATCTGTGAAATGCTTTTTCAATTCATCATCTGATGTTCTGAAGTTCAGGTTCTTAATATAAACTGAACGAGACTGAAACACACAGGAATAAAGTAAAATGAGATTGGCTATTAACAGCAAAAACATGTCACTTACACATTATGTAGGAAAAGAGGAAATAAGAAAAACCAAAAGAATCTTAGTTCTGACAAAACCTCAATTTTGTCATGATCAACATCAAAATCTGTCATATCTTCTTTCACTTGCTGATTCAACAAAACTCTATTGGAGTCTCGATCAACCATAACGGAATTATTACTTGAATCACCTCCAGGAATCAGAGTAGTTTTATTTAGAATACACTCGGGTACCAATTCCAAATACAATGGAGCTCCCCTGTTGAGACATGACCATTAGATCTAAGAAGAGGCAGTTATTATCATAGTAGACACCTTTTAGTGCTTGTGAAAAAGCTGTTAGTAGTTAATTTTTAGTTAAAAGTGCTGAAACCTTATTCATGTCCATGAACTTGTCAAATTTTGTCCTTCCTACACTCGAACTTACACTTTTGGCTCAAAGTTGTTAAATTCAGACATTCATGCTCTTATATACAATATATGTTCAAAATTTCAAATGACATCCTATGCTGCCGAGCAAGGCACCACAAAAGGCCATAAATGTATGGATTCAGAAATATTGCGGGCAATAGTGATAAAAGTTAATTAGTTTCAGGGGTAACGATGACAGAAGTGCAAGTTTGAGGGCACAAATAACAAAATACAACATGTTCATGAACATAAAAATGTGTGTGTTGTCAACATATAATATATAGATTGACAAGTCATTCCACATGAACTAAGAAGTTAATTTAATACATAAACTCTAACAGAAGCTACAGCTTATGAAAGTAAAAGGCCATAGAAGTAACTGATGCTTATTGTGATAAGCATTAAATTATAGGTACGTGTTAAGAAAAACAATAAGTAATGAGTTACAAAAAACTGAAAAAGCTCTTCATAAGTAACGCCAACAAAAGAACTTACTTGTAACACTTGTATCTTAGAGCATTAAAGCATGCATGAGCATCAACAGTTTCCACAAAGATTACCTCAAGTACAAAAATGAAAAAAATCATAGTAAAGAAAAAGTTAGTTTATTCGGGAAAGAAAGCTCATGAGAAAAATTATTTCCATATGTGATTCATTGTACAAATACAAACACAAGCTTGCTCATGAGCAGTTGGCGCAATATAACAAACTGAAATTGTAACTAATATACTCCCTCATCATCACTTTCATTTACCCCAGTGCCGGAAAGGCTCCCCCCTACTATAGTGAAAATCGCAACCAAAATTGCATGGACTGACTGTTGCTTCATAACAAAGGAGCGCAAACAGTTTAGTGAGCCATTTTGCTTTATTCCATCATATTCTCAAGCCAAAAAATAATGAATCTTTGGCTCCATTGTAAATGATGGAAAAAACTAATATACTCCCGTCGTCCCAAAAAATACTTCTCGGTTTGACTTGGCACACTTATTAAGAAAGTGAGAATAACGTGGAAATGTATGGTTGATTGGTTGTGGTTTAGTAATAAAAAGGTAAATGAATGTTAGCCACACAAAACTTTCCAAAAAGGGAAAGAGGAAGAATTTTTGGGACATTCTGAAATGGTAAGTGGGAAGAATTTTGTGGGACGGAGGGAGTATTTCTTAAAAATCGATAAAAGTATGAAAACTGATTCAAAATGTAAATGCAATGACCATGATGATACATTGATACCGACAGTAACTAAGGTAGTCATCCATATATCTTGTACAACAACCCAGAATATCAAATACTTAGAAAGAAACAGAGGAGAATAGATAAGGATACCAAGGCCAGAGTGTGTGTAGACGGAAGAACCACTTTCTCCAAATTGCCAAATTTTCCGAACATTTCAGCCAGTTCAGATTCTGATGAACAATATGGCAAGTTTTTCACCAAGATGACACGACTTTTCTTCAAAGCATTATTATTCTTCCCACATGAAACCTCTAATAAGGCAACATCAATTCCAGCATCGGAAAGAGCCCTTTTTGTGTCTTCAATTACTTTAGTTTCTCCGAGTGAAGTACGAACTGCAAGATCATTAGCTTCTCCATCGAGTAATTCAGTTTTACTAACACCAAGTTTCCGCGCAATATTTTCAACAACCTACAGCGTTTTAAAACAGCTAAGGAAAGTTAAATTTAGTGATCATCAAACAAGTTTGTGCAGTATAATATCCTACAACATAATAGAACAAAATGATCATTTGATGCCATCATTTACACACTTCATACATTATTATTCATTTTTTGGAAATAAATACTTAATTTAAATAAAACTCTAGTGCATCTTATTCTTTGTGAAGTTTTTGACTCGTGACAGCATTCCTTTTTCTTTTTCTTTTTTTGGTAAAAAATGAGGCATGATTATTACAAAAATAAAAAATCTTAAACGAGTTGCCTATGAGCCTGATCACTGAAACCAATAGAGTTACAAAAGAAACTCAAGGGAGCAAAAATAGTCATACTCATTAATCATGATCAAGTATATTCAAAAAAGAAAATCAGGTTTATACCATTTGTTGTTGGCCAGAAATAAAACATTAATACCTACATTACATTTTCAAAAAATACATGTATAAAAAGTAACCCCAAACTTACTGTGTCTGTTCGCATGAACAAACTATTCCATCCTCTTCTATCTCCATTTGTTTCAGATGCTTTCCTTTCCTCATTTCTTAGTTGTTTAAATGTCTTTGACGAGTAATGTTGAGTAAAGTTATTAGTCCTGTAGACAGAAACAACTGCTTACTGCTTTGATAATCCAGGAAGCTACCCACAAAAAATGGCAACATTAACATCAATTATAATGTTTTGAACATATATTATAAAGTATGTACTATCATAACATAGAATAGAAGCAGAATTTCTAAGCATACTTAAAAATATTGTTTTCTTTTGCAGGCCTGATGTATAATATTCTCCCCTGAAAACTTGTTTTGTTCAGCTCTTCAAAAGCCCTGAAGATTGAAAGAAAGAATTTATTGTCACATCATATCATAATAGTTGTTATACATTTAAAAAAATACCTGACAGCAGATTCTGGAAGACTGTAAACCACAAATGCTTTGCCTTTAGACTGTTTTGTTTCTTTATCAATAACAAGATGGAAATGTGTGATATCACCAAATCTGCTGAAGTGTTTTTCCGTCTCCTCTTCACTGTAATTAAAATCAGCTAAACTTAATAAATAAATTACATTATTAATTAAGAGAAACATGAATAAGCAATTGACAAATAACTTTCGGGCTTTTGGCACATCGCTAGAATCTTACGTGGCAACATAAGGCAGATTAAAGATGTCAAGACGGCCAATCTTAAGAATTTCTTCCTTCTCATATTCTGTACTAAACTCTTCAGTATACCCATCAACTTTAGCTTCCACTGTGAGTGTATCCTTTGCAGGATCATGCTTGCTGTCTAAAGAAGTAAATGCGAGAGAATCATTTGCCCATAACTTTGACTTCTTACGTGATTGCATGACTTGGAGAAACTCTTGAAACTCAGGGTTATCATTTAACACATCCTTCTTCTTAGCCCTACTGGTCCCTCCATGTGCTTGTGCACCTTTAGAACCTTCACTGCCCATTGATATCTTTCTTTTTGATAAAATTTCATGCTTTTCCAGGGAGTACCTACTCCAAGGGCGTGAGATTTTTGGATCCCCAACTTTATGAGCAATCTGGAGTCCAAACAAAGATTAAATCATGTATACAACAACTACTACACAGTATAACCCAACCTTGTTGGGGTCTGGGGTCAGATGTAGTGATGTACACAGCCTTACTCCTTATCAAATACAGAGAGTTTGTTCCCATTGCAAGCCAAGATGCATTGCTGCACATGATGTATTTATTTCCAAACAATTCACAAAGAATGAGAACCACTGAAATTTAATTAAAATTGTGTATTGATCACATTGCATCATTTTATGATGGGTGCCACGTTAACAGATTCAGTAATTGGTTCATATCAGTCTACCCCAGATGGTTTTGGGATTAAGGCTTAGTTGTTTGTGATATTCCAAAAAATAAATAATTCATGCATGAAATTTGTAAAATAATAGGTGATACCATTCTACAAAACTAATTATTAAGGTGATATAACGTCAATATGAACATATTTCTTTCTTATGATCGCCTATTCAGGAATTATTGAGGTATACTTATGCAAGCACAACCATTGTTTTTCATTAGACAATAATCTTCTTATGCTGAAGTTAAATAATCTCATGAAACGGAAGCATCAAACAACACATTTAAATGGCTCAAATGAAAAAGCAATTACGAACCTCGCAGCTAATCCTGCATGTGTCCATAAAAGACTTGTCGAAGTACTTAAGGGCTTCTCCAGCTTCTTGATCTGTCCTATACCCTACATATCCAACCTGTCTGCTCTTCCCATCTCTGAAATGAATCGTGAACATGTTGAATTATTAATTCAGTAACCACCGCTACTCCCCACCCCATCCCTTCCCCTAAAAAGTGCATTGTGTGTATAGAGCTATAAATTGTGTGAAGGATACTGAGTATGAATGAGCTTGATGTCGGTAATTTCGCCTTTCAGGGAGAAGTGTTCTCTCAAGCGATCCTTGGATACATATGCAGGCAAGTTCTTCACGCATATGCGTGACCTACATTGCAAACATTATTAGCAAAGATAATAAGCCTTCGATCGTTATACAGGTATCCATGTACGAACAAGATGGTTGCTTGTTTTTTCAACCATTTTTTCAGTCCTGAGCACAAAAAGAAGTGGTATATTTCAAACAAAGTTACATTTTGTTGATTCCTAGATGTAGTGATTATTCCCCTATGCTGCTTATTGGCACTAATAAAATAGGATTTACAAGTATAACCTATAGGTCTGAGTGTGTGACCTTGCACTCAAGACTAAAACTGATAAGCGAAACGGAATTTAGCACTTTAGGTACATTATTCAAGGATTACACCCGCTTCAATAAGCACAATTGTTTTTTCAATAACTTGATGTGTGTCTTTCTCATAAAACTTCGAAAAATTACTCAATATGAAATAAAAAATAACTAAATGTAAACTAAATAATTAAATTGCCCATACAAAATGAAAACGGCTTGTTATCTTGAATAGTCAAAAACATATGAAACATGACGTGCATTTGGAAAAGATACCATTTCAAGATCAGCACTTTTGCCTATGTTAGCATGTTTCATGATTAAAGAAGGATTTGTAGTCATCTTTTATCTAATTGATCACCAACAACAACTAAGCCATGTTCCCAAATACCTATCGATCACCAAAATGCAAAACTTATACATGTCTTAACAAAATACCTATCGATCACCATAATGGAAAAGATGATTATACACTTATTCATGATTACAATGAAACTACGAATATTGTCTTAACTTTCAAAATGTGCATTGAGCTATACAACTATTCATAAAGTTAAATGTTAAATGTTCACTTTGTTATGACCTTTAATCTTTAAAGTTTGAAGTTTGAAATTTGTATGAATAGTATATGCAGAGTGAACATGTGGGGGTGGAATTGAGAGTGAACAGAGAAAAAGAATGCAGAGAAAAAGGAACAAGGAAATAGAGACAGAAAAGAAGGATGGAGGAAGAAGATTGTGTCTTGTGACGAATTACGATAGAAGACATCTCATGATCATGATAATGAGAGCGTCTTCAATGCATCTAAGTCTAGTCTACATTAAATATGCCAAATGCCAAAAAATTAAGTCTTTCTAATCCACGTAATATCAAGTACAGTGATTGGATATTCAGGAATAAAACAAGTCTCCGATGCATATGATCTTTCGGCCCATGACAGGTGCCATGTGGAATGTAATATATTAAAATAAAACTAAGCTGTTTGCTTTTATTTTAACGGCTCTCCACTAAAATTGAGAGTGCAGTCATGCACGTACATATTGACAATCCCCTCTTTTATTGGTGAAGCCATACTTATTTCTATCCAGTCAAGACGTTTGGAAGGTTTTCTACACGCAAACATTCACCTTCACACTTTTTAGGTTTTTTTACCATGTCAGTAAAAGACTACAAGCATCGGAGAGATAAATACAAAGACAATGTCTAATTTAATGATGTGGCACACTTAATCCTACACTAGAAAGGCATGCATTGGGGATGCTCTTAGGGTGGTTCAGTTTTGTCAGCTGAGGTGGGTTTAAGTTTTTACATACATGGTGACAAATCAGAGTAGATGATATCAGAAACTTGGAGTTTGTAAGCGGGGAGGCACTGCTAAGCTGTGGTGTTGGACTGGCTGGGGAGGCAGCGACGTCCTGAACTTCTACATGAAATAACACAAGAAATAAGATCCACAACCACAAATAGAGAGGTATGCAAAGTTCAATAAGAAGAACAAATGTATTAATTAATCTAATCTAATAATATCCTTCTATTTTTTTTTATAAATCCGTCTATATATAAAAACACAATTAGTACATTAATTCTCTACACTTATTTCTTCACCTACTAAAGATTTTCATTAAAATTGTCTTTTGTCTTCTACTCGTCACATGCATACTTGTCACGGCAGTAAGTGGAGTCGTAGCGCCAGCCGACCGCCATATCGCCTAGGCGACAACTAGGCGACTAGTCGCACATTCTATATTATATTTTATTATTTATATAATTATATATATATATATATAATACATTACTAATTAAATTGTATTTCTTTATATATTACTACTATATTACAAAAAGTAAAGTACGCATTTAATTATTTTCGTTGCAGTACAAAAAGATGCGTACATTGTAAACATCATACCATGTACACAATAGCTCATCAAGCATAAATTTAACATCATGTGTCACATTAGCAAGAGAAATCACATAGTCTCATGCTTCAACAACAAATACTTAAGCAACACATATATTCACAATGGACGTCCTGGCGCTAGGGAGTTACTTATTGTTACTATAACTTTACAAGAAGGGTGTATGAAAGTAAAATGATGATGTTTGTGAATATTGAAAAGGTTGGTAGTACAATTTCATTGCAGTTTATATAAATTATAAGCAAACTTTACAAGTAATGATCAGAAAGACTAATCGAAAGCATGTAATCTTTGTGCTTGTTGTCAATGACCTTTAAGAAAAAGTTTAAGTAAAGTATGAGATTAAATAATGCCAACTATTAATATATCAAAGATAACTTTAGAATGCAATGAATGTGAAGCAAATGTTTACATGTTCTGGTAAGCTTTTCTCTTAGATCATTTAACATTAATGATAAAATAAGATATGCTAGGTACTAAACAAATCCATACTACTGTGGATTTAATTCTCGTGTGGATATAAACAAAATTAGGACTTGGATTTCCTAGATGCTTTGAAAAAGTAAGAAGATTGAAACTGGATTTAAAAAATTCTAACTATTTGCAGCGGTTTGTTTTGTGGTAATCATAATAGTTTTTATTAATCAACAGAGTGGAAACTCCTATTTAATGAAAGGAACAAATCTAATGCTCAACTTGATACACCCAAAGAAGAACGTTCGTACCACCACTACAAAAAACGAAGGGCAAGGACAATGTTCACTCCTGCATTTTTTAATTTGTTGCCCTAAATAAAAATTATAACCTAAGGAAGAAGGTCTTACTAGTTAAGATGCTTATTCAGGTTCATTAATTTTAGTTGTGAGTGAATAAAATTTAGATAATTTCTTATAAGGATTATACCAGGGACTTGCCTCAGGGTTAGAAATTGTGTAGCTATGCAGCTTCACCCGTTCAGGTAAAATATTATTTGCTAACACATTAAGATGACACTTTGAGGACCTGATTATCCACTCTATGGACCTTATTAGTTATTATCAACACAATTCAAACCGGGTACAAATAATAATAACAACAATAACTAACACTTTCAATCTAAAAGATTTAAACCACTGCCTAGGTTTTAACAACAGTAACAGCAAAAATAGCTTGGTCTTCGAATCCTACTTCGTAGACTTCTAAGATGGACAGGGAGAACTAAGCCACTCGGATTAATCCCATTTTTTCTGTCCAGTTTTTTGTCTTTTCCGTCCATCACTCAAACGGGTCTGTATACGGTTAATAAAACAATAATTCGCATGTTTGCGCCTCTTCATTCGTATAGCTGCTATTCAAGTATTCAACCCCCGAATAACTTCCCATAGTACACTTCGTATATGTAATGGTGGAATAAATCTATTCCTCTGTATCTCTTCCTCCTTTCATCTGCTACCATTCCATTCCTCAAATATGGTATTCATTTTTATAATCTTTTGAATGACTCCTTGCAACTGAAATTTGTACCAACTATAATGAATCTGCTATGTGTTCGTCTACTTGTTAAATTGAAAGTGTATTACTTCTGATTCCAAGTAGTATCATAATTGATACTTCTTGGTCTACTTCACTTAATTACTAATTTTGTAGGTGTTCATAAACTGTTCGAAAGAATGCCTTAGTAAACAATTGTAATGAATTTCATATTAGTTCGTATCAAATATACTTTCATGTTGCTCGGCCTTTAAATTGGAAAAAGTTGGTTGGTCTGAATTCTGAACACACACAAAACAAAGACACTTGCTGGTCTTAAACTATGTTTACTGATCACTGATCAAACTTCTTCAAACTTTCTTTAGAGAACTCTACAAATCTGATTGTATTCTATATAAAATATGGAGTAAAAATTTGTAGACCTTCAAATTGAAAGTATATCTTTTTTAGGCCTGCTATTTTGTAATAAAAGGTGAGTTACATGACTAACTATCTAAAGAAAAGACTTCAGTGCACAATTGTATTTCAGTTTTAGAAAAGACAATCCAATATATTTCCGTGCTTAAGAATCTATTTCATAATCTAAATATATTATCCTGACCCTTCGAGGACCTGATTACCCACTCTATGGACCTTATTATCAACACAATTGAACTGGGTACAAACAATAACAACAATAACTAACACTTTCAATCTTAAAAATTTAAACCACTGCCTGGGTTTTAACAACAGTAACAACAAAAATAGTTTGGTCTTGGAATCCTACTTTGTAGAATTCTAAAATGGACAGGGAGAACTAAGCTACTCTCTGCCGAAGATGCCTAATCCAAATATGTTATAATTCCATTTAAGGGTTAGAATGTACGGTACGTGGTCTACTGGAGATGCATATAATAACAAACTGTTCAAATATTTCTTGGTATTATATATTGAAGCCTTTAAAACATCATAAACAAATTAGTCATGCATATTGTGTTATTTTGAATTTCTAAATATATTGTGGTGTTTAAAATTAGCAATGTTTTAGTGATTGAATTTCAAAAGTGGAAAACTCGCTAGTGGAAAATTTAATATTACCACTGTAAAACAAAACTATAAGGATTAGAAGACATAGATATTGATAATGCACAAACTTATTTGTAAACAGGTAAACAATGGTACAACTTTGCAGATATAGTGAGTCACCAGGGTTAAATTGGTATTAAATTTATTGCAATATAGTGTCAGAATGGGTTCCTTGAAAAAGTTGGAGTTAAATAATAGAAATGTCTTAACTCTTAAGTAATTCAAATTTATAGGTGTGATAGTTAGTGATTGAAAATAAATTTTAAAACACAAAAGTAGGGCTCTAAGTAGCAAAAGATATTTGTATATATGAATATGAGTGGTTTTATAATGAAGAGCATTTGTTGTGGCAGTTTACATGTTCCATTGAACTCTTAAGTTCTGAGGGTTGGGAATCTTTTCAGGGGCATTTTGGCAAACAATATAGAGGCATTAGTTAAGCCTGTTAAGGGCAGCAGTTTTTAAGTTTTTCAGGGAACTATTATTTAAATTTATTAGTGTGATACTTAGTACTTAGTTAGTTAGTAGTTGAAAAATAAATTTTAAAACACAAAAGCAGGGCTGTAAATAGCAAAAGACATGTGTATATATGAGTGTTGATGGACATCACTGTCAATCCTCACTAATGCACCAACTGGATCAGGAAGATAGAAGTCATGTTCCTAATTAATAATTCAATCAGGCTCTGCCGCAACTAAACAGGATCAAGAAGATAAGACTGAACTTCAGAGGGGCTGAACACTATTCATGATTGCTTAATAAATCCCAGATTTTATGGGATACTACTGTACTTATGATTTGCTTGTCTAATTAACCTTTTCTGCACATGTATATTAGGAAGGTTCAAGCCGCAATAAACATATAGCAGAAAATTCTCTAAACTTTATTTTCTTCTTCTTTACTTCTTTGTAAGAACTGCTTATGTTCTTCACATAATTCAACAATGAGTTTGAGTTTTTTGTAATGAAGAGCTTTTTTTGTTGCAGTTTACATGTTCCATTGAGCTCTTAAGATTGGAGAGATAGGGACCTTCTCAGGGGCATTTTGACAAACACTATGGAGGCATGAGTTAAGGGCAGCAGTTGTAAAGCTTTTCAAAGCACTATTCTAAACTGCCATCGTGATCTAACACTGATAACCCAGACAGGAACAATACTGTCATTGCAACGCACTCATATGCAATCTCGATTACATGTACAAAGCAATTAATTTTATTTCTTTTTTATTGGTTGTGAAAAACAGTTTTGAAATTGAAGAGGAAGTGGATGAATTTCCCTAGTGCGTCGGTAACATTCTTTATGACAGAGACGTGTTCTTTGAAATAACAAGTTGATTAACTTACAGGAGAATGTTAAGGACAGTGAAATTAGTTGAAATGTAGAACAAGTTGATGAATCAAAAGGTAAAGGAGGCTTATTGGACATCACAACTCATGAGATTCTCTTGTCTCTTCTCATGTATAGGTTGCTCAGGTAAAGCTAAGGTTTATAGGATTGACTGAGCTGGTGCGGACGTCCATATGGGTTCATGTAGAGTTTGTTTAAACAACCGGGAACTTAATATTAACTTTAGAATATTAACATAAAAATAATATCAACAAAAACTTAACATTAATATTTGTACTAAATTAAATACAACACTAAATATTACTCCCTCCGTCCCGTAATTAAGTTCCTACTTTCCTTTTTGGGATGGTCCAAACAGTGCCAAACAATGCACTACACAGTAAAGTCAAATTTATTTCTTAATATGTGTGAAGTCAAACTAGGAACTTAATTACGAACCGGAGGGAGTATTATTAAAGTTGAAGTTAACATCAAATATAAAAACTGAAAAATGAAACTGCATGAGAAGAGGAAGAGAAGACAGTACCGTAGAAGAAGAGCTTCTTGAGATGAAGAAGGAAGAAGGCGCAGCGCCCGAAGCCGCGAAGGACAGAGTATGCGTACAAATCGATTGCCGTTATGTATTTCATTAAAAATAGTGGGCCCACTGGACCCAAAATAAACATTAAAAATCAGACCTGAAATAGTGTACGCCATAGCAAGCCTCATTACTAAAAGAGTGTTGGTAAAAGTACTCTTGAGGTGATTTGGAAAAGGTAATTAATTGTAAAAGTTGATATTGTTTGAGAAAAATGTGATTTTGAAAAGTAAAAGTTGGTAGTGTTTGGTAAAATAAGTGCTTTTGGTGTATAAAAAGGGGAAAATCACTTTTGACACGAAAGCCGAGAAAAGTAAAAAATTGATAGTGTTTGGTAAATAAGTGTTTTTAAAGCCAAAAGTTGATAAATGTTTTTTTAAAGCTGTTGCAAACCAGCCCTAAGTCTAATTGTGTACGCCTCTCTGCGCACCACAACCCCATACGCTGTCAGCAGTATTAGTATAGAGGTGTAAAGTAAATGAAAAAAAATAGGGAAAACTATCAAATAAGCCCCTGTACTATACCGAAAAAGTCGATTAGACCCTCGTACTTTACAAACACTCAATTAAGTCCTTGAACTATTAAAAAACGTTCAATTAAGCCCTTTTGGTCGGTACGTAATCGGTTTCCCGGTTAAATGTAACTCATTTCCCGACAGCCGCCGTTGCCGGGGTTCAAGCACATCATCGCCGTTATCGCCGTTTAACCGAGAAACCAGTTACTTACTGACCGAAAGGGCTTAATTGAACGTTTTTTAATAGTTCGGGGACTTAATTGAGTGTTTGTAAAGTATGAGGGCCTAATCGACTTTTTTGGCATAGTACGGGGGCTAATTTGATAATTTTCCCAAAAAATTAGAAAGAGAATATATTAAAACGAGTAAAGTAATGATAAAGTATGAAAGAGGAAGTAATATGCATGCTCGTCCCAAACTGTACGTACGAGGGCTTTGTGCTAATTATTGTAACTAGGTCTTACGTAATAAAGAAATTGCACAATAGTAATTAATAAATGCATTTTTATTACATATTAATATTACTCCGTACTATTTAATGTTTGTATTTAAAAAAATACTAAGATAGGAATTTTTAATGAAATAAATAAGGATTTTGTGTATTATGTAGACTATATTTAAAATTTTGGGTCTTCTAAATTGAGAGGCCTTGTGCGGTAGCACTTCTTGCACGCCCTCGTCCACGGCCCTGGCTATCAGCAATGCAAATTGTACGCCATATGCATGGAATCAGCTGAGGCGCGCACTGACAACCTAATTTGCAATTGAAAAAAAGAAAATTAGAAAATCATACGGAGTATGTGCTTACCGAGTAGGCATTGAGGTTGAGGCAAACAGGCATTGAGGTCGTTAGGGGCAGAGATGGTGAACAGAAGGGCTGAAACGCCGCTGAGGGTCGTGAGGCACTTCAGCCGTGGACGACGGGATGACGACACTGGAGGGCCTGGACGGCGGCTGTGTAGGATGAACTAGTGTCCTGGAGGCGGCACACGGTGGCGATATGGCGGCACGGTGGTGGCCTGGAGGTGCGGTGGCGACACTGGGTGGCGGCTTTGTCGCTTCAGTTGCTTGAAGTTCACGACTTTGACTTCTCTTCCGTTCTTTGGTGGTGTTTGGACCTGATTATTGAATCTGCTTCTGCTTCTTCAGGGTGCAAAGAAGAAGCTGAAGTGTTTGGATGAAAGTGCAAAAGTGATCCTAGTGCTCTAAATTACTCATAAAATCAGTTTTTTTTTAGAAGTTGGAGGAGACGTACTTCTAAAAACTGATTCTAATTCTGCTTCTACTTTAAAAAAGAAGAGAAGCAGAAGTTCCAAACACCTCTTTTGACTTCTCTCTCCTAATCTCCTCTATTTCCTCCAATTCCTTGGACCTAGGCCGAGTCTTTCTATTTCCTGTAATTGCTTGGACCTTGGCCGGCAGTTGTGCAATATTACTAGTGGAAATATCCGGTTAGGTCCACTTTTATGCTTAACATTTCATTTATGTCCAGCTAGATATTACTTTTCATATTTAAACTTTCGAATTTTCACTTTTAGTTTTATATTTCAAAAATGTCTAAACTATTAACCATACCGAATCAAATCCAAAATTCCAAACGATCTGAATGTGGCTCTGCGTCCACCTTCGTCTTCATCGATCTCCTCCAAGCTAGCTTCGGTCCATCTTCCATATCCGATCAATTTCCTCAATCGCCTCTCTCACAGACTCCACTTTAACCGTGCCGCTGTCACGCCCCAGACCGCAATCCAAGCGCGTGTACAACCGCCGTATAATCAAGTGACGTCACCCGCGAGTCAACCTCACTTAATTACACAAGGCGTTCGAGAATATAAACCATCCATACTCAGTAGTAAACATACATAACAACATCACACTTAAACCAATGAATAGCGGAAATATTCAACGGTAAGTCATAAGCCACAACCGGCCAACAACATGGGCATGCAAGCCCCAAAAGTAGTTTATAGCAAATAAAAATATCCATGAGCAATGTTTAGTCATTTGAAAGGAAATGAGGAAGCACGAACCACGTCTTCCTTGACTTGATGTCACCCGTAGAAAGGTGCAGGTAGCAAGCCCTAGCTTCAACCTGAAAATGGTGGGGCCCCCCGAAGGGGTCAGTACAAGTACCGAGCGAGTAGCAGGCTAAATATAGAATAACTAGCGTTTCAAGTATAAGACCCAAACATAGGATGATACATATACGTATAGTCTTTCCCCCAAGTTTGAAATACATATTAGTATACATACACTTGGAAATACCCGACCCGTAGGTCATTGTTTATTTGGGAAAATAATAGTAGCCAATATCCTTGACTTAAATCCCAACCCACCCATATACCTATGAGTGTATAGAACTCCTCCTTGTTCAAATAAATCATCATAAGGACACCGCCCGGTCCTAGATCATTAAACGTAATCTATGAGTTTTGAGGATACACGCCCGATCCTTGGGTACTCCACCCTATAATTGAGTTTTGAGGATAACCGCCCGATCCTTGGGTACTCCACCCTATATAACCGAGTTTTGAGGATAACCGCCCGATCCTTGGGTACTCCACCCTATATAACCGAGTTTTGAGGATACCGCCCGATCCTTGGGTACTCCACCCTATATAACCGAGTTTTGAGGATAACCGCCCGATCCTTGGGTACTCCACCCGACCTATGACTTACCACATATCGCACTAGATAGGGTCTATATCATATTTAGTCATTCATAACTAATTCAATACATAAGGCTTATGTATCACAATCCATGCAAAGCCATGCAATTATATAAATGTATAATTAACTAATATCAACCGATATTAACTAATCCATTATCCATCGGTCAACGTTGTCGTTGACCGCCAATTCAAGCCTTGTACCTATCAACTTAATCATCATATAATTAAGTTAATAATACTCATTTGTGCTTCTTTTACACTTCAAGCTAATATGCATTTTATACAATTCCTCATATCATATTTCCTGCATAAACAATTAATTCTTTTCATACAACTTAATAATGTTGGCTAATCACATGTTTAAATATCTTTTAAACATCATTATGAACACATATAACATTTATTTAGGTAATCTCATAATTAACCCAAAAGTTATAAGATATTAAGCCGTCCACTCACCTTGAACTAGCGTTAAGAAGTTCTACCCTTCTTGGTTGAACTCCGGTGAAACTCCGGCGACTTTTGGTCAACTCCGGCGACAATTCCGGCGACTTTTCCAACTTTGTGAAATCACTTGAAATACCCTTTACAAGTGCCTAACAAGGTTTTATAATCATAAAACTCATATTAATACAAATAACCTCTAAAAGGTTATTTTCCGGTGAACCGGTCATTTTGGCTTCTAAGTCCGTTTTTGGACGTAGAACCACCTTCCAACCCATGAATCCATACTTATAACATATGGAACCATACTAAAGGTCCTTCATATGATATATACTTCATATGGTGGAAGAAAAATAAAGGAGAAGTTATAATAAGGTCATTACCTTAATTATTCACACTTTTCCTAACTTTTGCCTTCTTAAATCCTCCTCCTTGGACCACTAGAGCTTGAGCTCGAATTTGCAGCAATGGAGGTGAGTTTGGAAGCTCTTCTTCTCTCCCTTGGGTGGCCTGGTCGAGCTAATGGGGTGAGGGGGTGATAGGATGGCCTTTTTGGCTCATCTCACCAATTATGTGGGGAAAGGGTCCCATCCTACCTCATGGTTGACCCTCCTCCCACCTTCCCTTGTCTTTGTAGCCCCCAAGGGTCACATTTGAGCTGAATAAAACGTGGGATGGCCCCCACTCATGTGGGAGGTCATCCCTTTGTGTCCCGATGTGTACAATCGGTCCCGAAAGTTGTATTTTTCGGACTGTTTTCAAATATATTTTATTTTATCGGGTCAAATAAAATATATTATGTGCTCTTACTCATTATTACATGTATAATGAATATACATCCCCCAACTTTAATTTATAAGCCTCCGAAATTCAGTTCGGGCTGTTATCTGATAAATTACCAGTACCGGTAATTTGGGCTTCTTTTGACCAATCGGTCAACTCCGGGCCTTTCCATGGCCCAAATGAAATATACACCACTATATATTTATTATCTAGACCAAGATGAATAAAATATATGGTCTCGGGACAGTCGGGCGGCCCTCGCTCCCGGTGTGGGTCCCACGTGCAATTTACTATTCACGCGAAAGAAATAATAAAAATTTACCACTTCGCAAATTCATTAATCATTTAATAAGGTTCAATACATTATTTACATGAAAGTAAATATATTTGGGGACGGTGTTACAAGTTCACCCCCCCTTATTTGGGATTTCGTCCCCGAAATCTAAGTATCTAATCGAAAAGAAATGGGTATTGCTCCCTCATGGAGACCTCGGTCTCCCAAGTTTCTTCTTCGACTCGATCACTCCTCCAAAGAACCTTTACCATAGGAATCTCCTTATTCCTAAGCTTCTTCACTTGTTGACCAACAATCTTCACTGGTTCCACCGCATATTGCAAATCCTCACGGATCTCTACCGGTGGTTTCTCAAGAATATGAGATGGGTCTCGTATGTACTTCTTGAGCATTGATACATGAAACACGTCATGTATCTTCTCAAGTTCAGGCGTCAACTTGAGACGGTAAGCCACGGCTCCAATCCTTTCAAGGATCTCAAATGGACCAACGTATCGGGGGTTAAGCTTTCCCCTCGATACGAATCGGATGATGCCCTTCCAAGGAGAAATCTTTAGGAAGACCTCATCACCGACTTCGAACTCCAACGGTCTCCGCCGTTTATCAGCGTAACTCTTCTGTCGGTCCTGAGCGGCCTTCAGTCTATCTCGAATGACCCTCACCTTGGCCTTGGTGATCTCGACTAGTTCCACTCCTTCGAGTTTGGCCTCGCCAACCTCGTCCCAACACAATGGTGTTCTGCATTTTCTCCCATACAATGCCTCATATGGAGGCATGCCGATACTTGCTTGATAACTGTTGTTATAAGCAAACTCCACTAGGGCCAAATGCTTGTCCCAACTTCCCTGGAACTCCAAAGCACATGCCCTAAGCATGTCTTCCAGAATCTGTATCACCCGCTCGGACTGTCCATCGGTCTGTGGGTGAAAAGCTGTGCTAAACTTCAGTTTAGTTCCCAAAGATGCCTGAAACTTTGGCCAAAATCGGGATGTGAATCGTGGATCCCTATCCGAGACAATGGATATTGGGACTCCATGTAATCTCACAATCTCCTCCGTATATAGCTTGGCCAGTCTTTCAAGAGGATAAGTAATGTTGATAGGCAAAAAGTGTGCACTCTTGGTGAGCCTATCAACCACTACCCAAACTGCATCATAGTTGTTCACTGTTCGTGGTAGCCCCACCACGAAGTCCATGGTCACGTGCTCCCACTTCCACTCTGGGATGATGAGTGGTTGTAAGAGCCCTGCTGGGTGCTGATGCTCTGCCTTAACTTGCTGGCAAGTAAGGCATCGACTCACAAACTCTGCAATATCCTTCTTCATACCTGACCACCAGTAACTTCCCTTCAGATCTCGGTACATCTTAGTACCCCCTGGATGCATGGCATATGCTGAAGAATGAGCCTCCTCAAGTATAGCCTTCTGGAGCTCCTCATTCTTTGGTACGCACACACGATCCTTAAATAATAAAAGACCATCATCACGTACCCGAAAGTCATCAACGGGCCCCTCAAGGATCCGTTCACGGATCTTCTGACATTCCCCGTCAATGGCCTGACATCTACTGATCTCACTCAGTAGTGTGGGCCTAACCTCAAATCTAGCAATGAGAGCCCCGCATGTGGATACCTCCACGCGCGCCCTCAATGCCCGTAGACATGTGAGTAACGTCCCCGACGTACTCTTCCTGCTTAGCGCATCGGCCACCACGTTGGCCTTTCCGGGATGATAGTCGATGATCAAATCATAGTCCTTGATCAACTCCATCCATCTCCTTTGTCTCATATTCAACTCTTTCTGAGTGAATACATACTTCAAACTCTTATGATCAGTAAAAATGTGGCATGTCTCCCCGTAGAGATAATGCCTCCAAATCTTCAGTGCAAACACTACCGCCCCCAACTCTAGGTCGTGAGTAGGGTAGTTCACCTCGTGTTTTCTCAATTGCCTAGAAGCATAGGCAATCACCTTACCGTTTTGCATTAGTACACATCCGAGCCCTTGGATGCTAGCATCGCTGTAAATGTCATACCCTATCCCCTGTATGGGTAGGGCAAGGACTGGTGCTTCGGTAAGTCGTTTCTTCAGTTCAAGGAACCCTTTCTCACACTTGTCGTCCCATATGAACTTGGCCCCTTTCTTTGTGAGCTTCGTTAATGGAGACGCCAATACGGAGAATTTTTCAACAAATTTACGATAGTATCCCGCTAAGCCAAGGAAACTACGTATCTCTTTCACATTCTTGGGTCTCTCCCAATCCATGATAGCTTTTATCTTGGCGTTATCCACAGCTACGCCCGAACCGGATATGACGTGACCGAGAAAACCAATCTCCTTGAGCCAAAATTCGCATTTAGAGAACTTGGCAAAGAGTTGCTTTTCCCTTAGCCGATCAAGTATAAGCCCCAAATGATGCTCGTGCTCCTCCTCACTCTTGGAGTATATCAAGATATCATCAATGAATACTATCACAAATTGATCTAAGTATTCACTAAACACCCGGTTCATCAAGTCCATGAATGCCGCCGGTGCGTTGGTTAAACCAAATGACATTACAAGGAACTCGTAATGACCATACCTAGTGCGGAATGCACTCTTAGGTATGTCGCTCTCCTTGATCTTCAACTGATGATACCCCGACCTCAAATCAATCTTCGAGAACACTATTGCCCCCCGAAGTTGGTCAAACAAGTCATCAATCCTCGGTAAGGGATACCTGTTCTTGATTGTGACCTTGTTCAATTGTCGGTAGTCAATACACATTCTTAGTGTACCATCCTTCTTCTTCACGAAGAGTACGGGTGCCCCCCACGGTGAATGACTGGGTCTGATGAATCCGTTGTCCAATAATTCTTGTAGTTGGACCTTCAACTCTTGAAGTTCGGCCGGTGCCATTCGATAAGGAGGAATCGAAATGGGTTTGGTTCCCGGCTCCACTTCAATTACAAATTCAATCTCTCTATTGGGTGGAAGCCCCGGTAGGTCTTTGGGAAAGACATCCGGGTATTTGCACACGACCCGTACATCTTTGATGTCGACTTCCTTCTTGGTATCGTCCACCACGTAGGCAAGGTATGCGTGGCATCCCTTCCTCATCATCTTCCGTGCTCTCATCACGGATATTATACAAGCATTAGATTTCCCCCGATCTCCCTCGAAACATAGCGTGTTTCCTTGATCATCCTCGAGCTCTAACACCTTGGTGTAGCAATCTACTCGAGCATGGTGTTTCTCGAGCCAATCCATTCCTAGGATTGCATCGAACTCCAACATGCTTAGAGGTACGAAATCACAAGTCAAAGGTTGACCCGTCACTTCTACCTCACACGACGGATAGTAATGATTTCTCTCCACGTCGTCTCCTAACGGTGTGGAGACTAGCAACGTTTGAGTCATAGGTGTCAATGGCACGTCAAGGCCCTCGGCGAACGCCTCACTCACAAATGAGCGTTGTGCCCCGGTATCAATGAGGATCCTCGCACACCTACCATTGATCTTTAATGTTCCTACATTTATACACCATGTAAGATACATTTTCTAATGTTTTTACACATTTTTAGGAGGTTATTAGGCTCATACTAATGTTTGGAATCAAACGGGGGTCCAAACGTAGAAGAACGGGGCGAAAAAATCAAGTTTCGGCTATTGGGGGTCCACGCACGGCGTGCCTGGGTGGCACGCACGGTCGTGCGTGAGTGAGAAAATCGAAACCCGCCACTGCCGGCTACGCACGATCGTGCGTAGCTGGTCACGCACGATCGTGCGTCCCAGGCACGGCGTGCCTGACCTGCACGCACGGCGTGCGTCTGTGCGGAATAAGGCCAGGGGCTACTGCCTCGCACGCACGGTCGTGCGTCTGTGGGTACGCGCGATCGCGCGTAGTTGTTTTTAGCCCGTTTCGCCCCGAATTCGCGGGGTTTGACCCCGGGGTGGCCCGCACCCAAACCCAATGACTTATATGACCCAAATAAGCCTAGAAATACAGGAAAATAAGTGTATTACCTGCAACGGAGTCCGGGTTTGCTCGTGCGTCCGCCTCGGTCATTGCGTACACTCGGGCTTGGGTCCCACCTTGGTTGACGGATGCGGCATGACTTGTGGATGCGCCGCCTCTTCCCGTGCCGCCGTTTGACGGTCCCGCACGGTTCCTTCCCGTCATGGTCCCTCCCCCGGCTCCCGAGGCACTCTCTTGCATCAATTGAGGGCAATTGGCCTTCATATGGCCCGCATTCCCGCACTTAAAACACCTCGGTGGTTCACTGCACTTCCCAAAGTGTTGTTTTGAGCAATTGGGACATCTAGGTGGCCCCGAGTTCTGTGGCCTAGGTCCGTGCCACCTCGCATCCCTGTTCTTCTTTGCCGGTGGGGCCGGCGCCTTGAATGAACCACCGCCACCACCACCACCCCCGTGGTTGTTTCTTCGAGAATGATCGGGTGGTCCCGAATTATTCCACTTCCTCTTCTTCGCCTCTTCGGCGTCCCTTGCTTTCCTCTCATTCCACTGGGCCTCTCCAAGAAGACCCTGTTCCACCACCTCGCTAAATGACATGTGGCGAGAGTATGTAGCTCGGTCGCGGATGTCCAAGAGTAATGCATCCCAGAAGTGCTCCGTCATGCGGTTTTCATCAACCGCGTACTCTGGCAAGAACCTCGCCAAGGTTCTAAACTCTTGTTCCAGCTGCTTAACCGTGCCGCCATCTTTCTGTTTGAGGTTAGTGTACTCTCTCCGTTTCACATTCACCTCGTACTCGGAGTAGTATTGAGCATAGAACTCTAGCTCAAAGTCCGCCCATGTTATTTCCCCATGGTACTTCCCTTCCACACTCTCCCACCACGTAGAGGCTATCCCTTCAAGTAGCCGTGAAGCGACAGTCAACTTCACGTCCGGTGTGATTTGCATGTCTCTTGATGCATCCTTCACCTTCTTAATCCAATCGGCGGCAACGGTAATGTCACCGGTGCCGTCAAAGGACCTACACCCCAAGGCCCTAGCCTCCTTGAGGTACTTGGAGATTCTCACAACAAAACCTCCTTCACGCCCCCCTTGTGACGCCGCTGGGGTGGCCACGGAAGCTCCCCGGCTCCCTTGACCCGAACCACCACGAGAGCCACGCCTCGCTTGGCGCCTAAGGTCTCTCCTCTGTTTCTCCTTTTGATACCACTCAAGTAATTCACCCATTTGGGCGAAGCGGGCATCACTTTCATCATTGTCCTCATCGGTGTATGTGTCACCCCCATCATATGGGGTCTCCTCATGCTCTGTCTCAGGAACATACGTAGAGTCATAGTCCTCGGTGTTGGTTTCATACACCGAGCTTACATGGCCATCACTCACAGTTTGAGCTTGATGACCTCCACGGCTTCCACGGCCTCCACGGCCTCCTCTTGAACCCCGAGATGCAGCCCGGCTTCCCCTTTGGGATGTTACCGGTGCCTGCCCCCTCGGATTGTTCCTGGTCCGCATTCGCCTGCCCTCCATTTCTGAAAGAAATATGGATGAGTCATTAGACTCCTATAAATGTCAATTGACGGAAGAACGTTACAGACACGTATTGGTCTAAGTCACCACCATACCAATTGTTAAGGGTACCGTCTTAACAATTAGAGGCCTTGCAACTTAGGCTCCAATAGTCCCATAACGTCAAAATCCAATGCTCATGGTTTTCGGTAAAAACTCTTTCATAAAATCTCATGTGAGAGGTTGATTATATAGTTTAGAACTGAGATGGCTCTGATACCACTTAATTGTCACGCCCCAGACCGCAATCCAAGCGCGTGTACAACCGCCGTATAATCAAGTGACGTCACCCGCGAGTCAACCTCACTTAATTACACAAGGCGTTCGAGAATATAAACCATCCATACTCAGTAGTAAACATACATAACAACATCACACTTAAACCAATGAATAGCGGAAATATTCAACGGTAAGTCATAAGCCACAACCGGCCAACAACATGGGCATGCAAGCCCCAAAAGTAGTTTATAGCAAATAAAAATATCCATGAGCAATGTTTAGTCATTTGAAAGGAAATGAGGAAGCACGAACCACGTCTTCCTTGACTTGATGTCACCCGTAGAAAGGTGCAGGTAGCAAGCCCTAGCTTCAACCTGAAAATGGTGGGGCCCCCCGAAGGGGTCAGTACAAGTACCGAGCGAGTAGCAGGCTAAATATAGAATAACTAGCGTTTCAAGTATAAGACCCAAACATAGGATGATACATATACGTATAGTCTTTCCCCCAAGTTTGAAATACATATTAGTATACATACACTTGGAAATACCCGACCCGTAGGTCATTGTTTATTTGGGAAAATAATAGTAGCCAATATCCTTGACTTAAATCCCAACCCACCCATATACCTATGAGTGTATAGAACTCCTCCTTGTTCAAATAAATCATCATAAGGACACCGCCCGGTCCTAGATCATTAAACGTAATCTATGAGTTTTGAGGATACACGCCCGATCCTTGGGTACTCCACCCTATAATTGAGTTTTGAGGATAACCGCCCGATCCTTGGGTACTCCACCCTATATAACCGAGTTTTGAGGATAACCGCCCGATCCTTGGGTACTCCACCCTATATAACCGAGTTTTGAGGATACCGCCCGATCCTTGGGTACTTCACCCTATATAACCGAGTTTTGAGGATAACCGCCCGATCCTTGGGTACTCCACCCGACCTATGACTTACCACATATCGCACTAGATAGGGTCTATATCATATTTAGTCATTCATAACTAATTCAATACATAAGGCTTATGTATCACAATCCATGCAAAGCCATGCAATTATATAAATGTATAATTAACTAATATCAACCGATATTAACTAATCCATTATCCATCGGTCAACGTTGTCGTTGACCGCCAATTCAAGCCTTGTACCTATCAACTTAATCATCATATAATTAAGTTAATAATACTCATTTGTGCTTCTTTTACACTTCAAGCTAATATGCATTTTATACAATTCCTCATATCATATTTCCTGCATAAACAATTAATTCTTTTCATACAACTTAATAATGTTGGCTAATCACATGTTTAAATATCTTTTAAACATCATTATGAACACATATAACATTTATTTAGGTAATCTCATAATTAACCCAAAAGTTATAAGATATTAAGCCGTCCACTCACCTTGAACTAGCGTTAAGAAGTTCTACCCTTCTTGGTTGAACTCCGGTGAAACTCCGGCGACTTTTGGTCAACTCCGGCGACAATTCCGGCGACTTTTCCAACTTTGTGAAATCACTTGAAATACCCTTTACAAGTGCCTAACAAGGTTTTATAATCATAAAACTCATATTAATACAAATAACCTCTAAAAGGTTATTTTCCGGTGAACCGGTCATTTTGGCTTCTAAGTCCGTTTTTGGACGTAGAACCACCTTCCAACCCATGAATCCATACTTATAACATATGGAACCATACTAAAGGTCCTTCATATGATATATACTTCATATGGTGGAAGAAAAATAAAGGAGAAGTTATAATAAGGTCATTACCTTAATTATTCACACTTTTCCTAACTTTTGCCTTCTTAAATCCTCCTCCTTGGACCACTAGAGCTTGAGCTCGAATTTGCAGCAATGGAGGTGAGTTTGGAAGCTCTTCTTCTCTCCCTTGGGTGGCCTGGTCGAGCTAATGGGGTGAGGGGGTGATAGGATGGCCTTTTTGGCTCATCTCACCAATTATGTGGGGAAAGGGTCCCATCCTACCTCATGGTTGACCCTCCTCCCACCTTCCCTTGTCTTTGTAGCCCCCAAGGGTCACATTTGAGCTGAATAAAACGTGGGATGGCCCCCACTCATGTGGGAGGTCATCCCTTTGTGTCCCGATGTGTACAATCGGTCCCGAAAGTTGTATTTTTCGGACTGTTTTCAAATATATTTTATTTTATCGGGTCAAATAAAATATATTATGTGCTCTTACTCATTATTACATGTATAATGAATATACATCCCCCAACTTTAATTTATAAGCCTCCGAAATTCAGTTCGGGCTGTTATCTGATAAATTACCAGTACCGGTAATTTGGGCTTCTTTTGACCAATCGGTCAACTCCGGGCCTTTCCATGGCCCAAATGAAATATACACCACTATATATTTATTATCTAGACCAAGATGAATAAAATATATGGTCTCGGGACAGTCGGGCGGCCCTCGCTCCCGGTGTGGGTCCCACGTGCAATTTACTATTCACGCGAAAGAAATAATAAAAATTTACCACTTCGCAAATTCATTAATCATTTAATAAGGTTCAATACATTATTTACATGAAAGTAAATATATTTGGGGACGGTGTTACAGCCGCCACCGCTCTCTCAATCCATCTTAACGTGTCTTCTCCAATCCCTAATTTGATTGTGGAATGAAGGCCGACTTTGAAGGGTTGCCAACATCGGTTTCCACAACAATTTGTTCACTCATAGCTTCAGATTGGTTGATAATAATGAGTCGTTGGTTCCATAGCCTTGAATGGATCAACGATTTTGTATCTGTAATAGAGTCGCCTATGGGAGAATGAACAACAATTGTGCTAAAAATTGGGGGTTCTTCTGATGAAAACGGAAGGGACGATTCTCCAACCAACCGGTATTCTTCGCACTCTTAAACCGGTTCTATATCGATGAAGGATGGAGATCGGCAGTCTCTCACCACCTTCCTCATAATTTTGGTTATGATAAAAAAATTATCCTGATTCCAGATCTACAATTCGGCATATTTATTGGAGATTCCGTTTGGTGATGAAAATCATATCTCCCTTAGCAATTTCTAGGTCTTTTACCTTTCAGAAATGTTGTTGGAGTTGATCGTAGTGTTCTATCATTCTATCCGTTCTTAGGTTTGGTTTTCTTCCTGATATGATTGGCATTGTGTAGGTTCGGTTGGCTGATGGAACACCTATGTGAAGTGATAGTTTTTCTAGCTCTGTTAGATTCAAATTTGAGATTCCTGCTAGCAAAGCTTATGACTTACAATTTAATTGAGTGGAAAGTGATAGTTTTTCTTGATTACACATGATCTTGTACCAAATAATGTGCTTCCTAAAGACTTTTTTCATGCAATAAAGCTAGTTGATTACATTGATTTACAGCTTTGTAAGTTAATATGAGCTTGTTACATTGATTTAATTTATTTCCAGCATCATGTTTGACTAAAAGTTCAAAACAAGATATTAATTTGTATTGAAAAGTTGAGATTAGCTCTTTGCTCTGCTATTTCTTTCTAATGAGGCAGTGTACACTTTTAAGACTTAACTAGTATTCATTTTATTATTCGTTATGAGTATGCATTCTTTTTTTTTTAAATGCTTAAGTGGAGACTATGGAATGAGATGATCATCCATCAGCAAAGGGTTGAGACTATGACAACAAATTAAACCATGAATTGAAACACTACATTTGACAGGCAGAAAAAATCAAAAACAAAAATGGGAATGTTAAGGGAAAATACATTTTAAGTGGGAATCTCAAACAATTCAGCAATTGACACTCTTTAGAGCAGAAACGTCATTAGTCCATAAGCTAACTTTATCATCAATTATTCAAAGCCATGTTTTGATGTGTGGATACATTTTGATGTATGTATAAATTGTATAGGTGGATTGTTTCCTTATAATACTTGATTTGAGATTTGTGTCTATTGTATTCTCAATGCAGGTGCATAATAGAAGTACATGGAGATATTAAGATGACTAAGAAGATCAAGTGATCAACAAGAGAATGAAGACAAGAGAGACAAAATGATAGATTGTGTCAAGATGCACAAGAAGAAGAAGAATGTGAAGATGCATAATAGATAAATGTAGCATATTGAAATGATAGAATGATTATATATTTGTTGTGATACTTTTTATATATATATATTTTGTTTCTTTTTGTTGTACCATTACTACCATATGTGTTGCTTTTTGTTTCACCTTGTTTTTGTTGTTGTATTATGTTTCTTGTTGTTGATTCTGATGTTTGTTGTTTATTTACATTTCCATTTGTTTTTGTTCCATTTATATAAAACTAAAGGAACTAGATCTAAGAGCAAACCAAGCCCATATTCAAAAGGTTTGTGTTGCTTTGAGCACAGATTTCGAAAATTTCCAACATACACCGAGCTTTATATATTTTATCAGTGTGATTTGTTTATCCCAATTATGTTCATTTAAACAGCATTACAAGATGTCCAAATTGGAGCTTGAGGTATCATCATTGTCAGAAGTGATAACCTGCAGAATCCCTGCTCAAGATGCTTATAAGCTAGAGCATGATATGAATCCCATCCTTTCAAATTGTGCTCTCTTTTGAGTTTAACTTGATTTTCCTCAAATAAAAAACTCTTCCCTATATAAGATTACAAGTAGTGCTGGACTCGGGCCGGTTCGGGCCCGGTTCGGGCCTGGGCCCGGCCGAGCCTTGGGCCTGGAAAGTTGGGCCCGAGCCCGAGCCGCCGGTGGGCGGTTCCAGTTCCGGTTCCGGTTCCGGGCCAAACCGGGCCGGGCCGGGCCTAACCGGTTATAATTTTTTTTTTTGGCTCTTCTATTTAACCCCCAACCCCTCCCCCTCAACCCCAAACCACCCCAAACCACCTCAAATGGCCCAAAATACCTAATCCAACCCAAAATTTAAAAAAAAATTCAAAAAAAAAAAAAAATTAAAAACCGGCCCGAACCGGGCCCGAACCGGCCGGGCCGGTTCACCAAAAACAGGGCCCGAGCCCGAACCGCCCAGCAGCCGGGCCGGGCCGGGCCGAACCGAACCGGTGGACCCACCGACCCCCGGGCCGGGCCGGGCCAAATAGTAACCGGGCCGGGCCGCCCGGCCCGAGTCCACCACTAATTACAAGCAATTGGTTTGTTCCTTCTCCAATTCTATACGGCATCAATTTGGTAAACAAATTAATCTAGCTGAAAATTTTGATTTTTTCCTACAGACAAGGCCATATGGAATTTTATGTCTCTTATTTGCCTTTTTACATGGCTGAAGCGTCGCTCTAATTTTCTTAGTATGCGCACTTCTTTGCCTAAATCAAATTTGAGTGTACTTGTAATACTTGCACAAACATTCTACCTGCAAAGTATCAGCTCCATCCACATTAGCACACCTATATAAGAGTACTTTATGCCTCTTGTTAATTCACTCTTGTTCATTTGTTTACAGAACTGCACTTCTCCAATGACATACTTCTCTTTCTAGCATAAGTTCTAGCTCAAATTGAGGTCTCGTTTACATTATTTATTATGAATAAAATTCTTTTGATATGCATATATATGTAACATTTTGGTTATATAGGTGTGTTGGTTCCTTATAATAATTTCTTTGAATTTTGTGTCATGGTGATTGCATTCCTATTGTCAAGACATGATAGAAAAGAAGTACATGAAATTGCAAGGCTGAGAAGATTGACAACAAAAGTGAAGACAACAGAGAAAAACCTTTTAAATTGTGTGTTAAGACGCAACATAAAAGGAACAAGAAGTATGTAGAACCAAGACAATAGATGTAATAGATAAATGTAATAAATTGTAAGAAGAGGTTAAATTATGTATATGTTGTGATATTTTTATATGTTGTTTTTGTTGCTGTTTGTTGCATTCTATGTGTTGATTATTGTTGTATTATGTTGTTTTTTGTTGCATCATGTTTTTTATTTTTTATTATTCATATTGATTTTTTGTTTATTTAAATTTATTTTTATATTTCTTAGTGTTGGAATAAAAAATCATACACATTACAGGCACACAAAGACCTAAAAAGATAAATACGGATTTATGAATAAACAAATTAAAGTCCAAGTAAAAGCATCATAAGATGTGATAACAACTCCTAACAAAGAGATGTAGCCAAATTGTTGCGGCCACAAGAGTTTGATAACAAAGGGACAGTTCCAAAATAAAATAAAAATAATGATGATGATGATGATAATAGTAGTAGTAGTGATGATGATGATGATGATGATGATGATGATGATGATGATGATGATGATGATGATGATAATGATCATCATCATAATAATAATAATTCACATAAAGTTGAATTTTTATCTTCTATCTACATAACACAAAACGTAATGTAGAGGAAAAGATTAAAGAGATATTACCCAAAATAGGACTAAAAAGGTTTGAAAATTCCAAAATAGAATTTCCATGTTTTTATTTCTGAAATAGGACTAATTACTGTCATGTTTTGGCAGTATCAGACTTCAAACATGGCAGTATTTTCCAACCTTGGCAGTAATTACTCCTATTTTAGGAATAAAAAACATGACAGTTCTATTTTGGAATTTCCAAACTGTTTTAGTCCTATTTAGCTGGACGGGAAGGTCGTCAAATGATTTTTTCAAGTTAACTGGTCCGGAATATGTATTTTCCGGACCAGTTAACTTGCAAAAATCATTTGACGACCTTCCCGATCGAATTTTGAGCTGAAATTTGGTATGGACAAACTAGACTTGATGAGGAACATGCTCAAAAAATTTCATCAAAAAATTCCACCGGGAAGGTGCTCAAACGGGCTCGGCCGGACGGGGCAGCCCGTCAGGCCGGCCTGATGAGAAGAGCACTCTATATATATATATATATATAGCATTTTTGGATTTGTATGATGCAGTTATATACTATCGTATATTCAACCTATGCCATTTTATGCTTTGGATTAGCAGGGGCGGACCCAGGAAATCCATCTTGGGGGTTCAAAATATTTTTGGGAGGGCGAAAAATTATTTTTTGAGGGGAGGGGGGGATTACTTTTCATATATATATATACCCTAAAAAAAATTGTTGGGGGGCGGTAGCCCCCCTGGGTCTCTACTACGGTCCGCCCATGTGGATTAGACTATCATACCTTTTCCAATAGAATTGAATGACTATATTTAGGATGTTTTTACTTGGACTGTAATTTGTTCTAGACCAGACCAGACCAGACCAGTCCAGACCAGACCAGTTCAGACCAGACCAGACCAGACCAGAATTTGATAGTTATAAAATACAAAGAAACCAGACCTTACCAGACCAGACCAGACCAGTTCAGACCAGACCAGATCAGACCAGACCAGCAAATTACAGTTCAAGTAAAAACATCCTTAGCCAGCATTTGGGGTCTGGAGTATAATACGTATTCATTATACTACGTATTAAGGAGTACGTGGGTTTTGAACTTAAGCCCCCTTTGGAAATTCAGAAAGCAATTAGAAAGGATCAACATCATGTTTTTTTTTACACAAATTCAAATTTTATTCGTTCAGATATCAAAGTTACATGATTGGGGGGACTAATTAAAAACCTTACCCATTAATTTAAACTGAAAGAACCGAAAGTTACAGATAAGGCCCAAGTGCCCAAGTTACAGGATCAACATCATGTATGCATGCATTCATCTTATCTTCTTTTCCAAGCCGAGTTCATACTCTAACTTAATACGGAGTACTTTCTACAAAAAAATATAATGTGTATATGTGTGACACGACTTTATTTCACTCATAGAGAAACTTTTATGAATAATTACAATATCAAATAGGGAATTTATGGATTATAACATAGTCAATGCCTTGTCCACTATTGCATTGTCCTATAAGGTTCATATGCCTTGTCCACTATTGCATTGGTATTATATATATACTCGGTATTAGATTATTACGGAGTATATATGTAAGCTCTGGATCCAATCATTCATAATCTAAGACTTCAAAGATGAACTATGTATTTTGTAGTGAAGTGCCTGCTTCCAGATGTACATAGCTATCTCAATGCCCAAGAAAAGATGGTCAGTTGGAAAAATTAGATAAGTCACGCCTTTAGACTTTTGCAACACAAAATTAGACGTGTTTTTTTAAATAAACTTCAAATGTTTAAATAATTCACTGTCTGTCGAAATAGTTCACAACAGGTTTTGATATAGTCCCCCTCTTTCTTACTCATCCTGTTGGTGTGTTAATAAATCTTGATAAATGTCCCCCGGCATTTACCCCAGGATAAAAAAAAGTTTAAATAATTCAAGTTCCTTGTGCTTCAAGGCCCTAACTAGCCTGCAAGCTCTAATAATAAATCATCGAACAGCTTGCAATCCCACAAAAATCACTCTACAAAACGATGGTTGCAGTGTATCTAGGTTGATCTAGTGTGGATCGGAGTACTCTGGCCATACGAGTATTATCGTCGGCACCGTAGACTTGAGTGGTCTCGACTCTCCAGCGCTCAAGGAATTTGTTGAGGAGTATTGCATCCTTTGCCGGTGAATAGGTGGGAGAAGTGTTTCTTCGTACGAGTCCTCCCTGCAAAATGGGTAAGAAAGCTCGTGACCAATTGGCATCAAGAGTAGATGGCACATACAAGGGCAGATCTAGCATTTGCATTGAGGTGGGGCCAGGGGCGGACGTACGTCTTGTTGAATGGGGGCACATGTCCGGGCACATGCCCCCAATAAGATGTTAATTTTTAGCTTTATCTAGTTATATTTTAGTACAAAAAATAGAAATGCCCCCAATAAAATAGTAAAAGTGCCCCCGGCTCTTATGTCTACGAAAAAGTGAAAAACTCTAAGTTGATTATCCAAAAGCAAGTAATCAATTACTGAATCTTCGTTTTTTAATTTTATGGGCTTCTCTCGACTAATCTTTTCCCTTCTTTACTATTTTACTTTTATTTTTGCATATATGATTTTTTTTTTCTATTTAAATTTATATAATGATTGATTATAGTGTCTAAATTTTAATGGGTACTATCTCTATCCCTAATTAGTTACTCCGTATTTTGTTTTTATCATTTCAGGTTGTCACAAAATAATCCTCTTATTTCCTTTTTACAAAAATATTTAGTTCATTAGTTCATACAATTTTATACTCCGTAGTTCTTACTTGAATTTCAATTGCATCATTTACCTTTTCAATCACTTTATTTATAAGTATTGTACATACAAATCCAAATAAGATACTCCTTAATTTATTCGGGGTATAGGGAGTAGCATTTAGTTAAATTTTAGTTTATGTGATTGTAATAGGTTCCATTTCTGGAATAAGAAGTAATCCACATTTGTACCAACTACCAAGAGCCTGTTTGATGAACCTCTTTTTTGACTTATTATGATTACTGGCAAATCTTTTCACCAAATACGTAACTTTTGACTTTGCGCGGTGAATTGTGTCATAATAAGAAAAAGTAAGGTTGGAGTTGTTTTTTTTACTGTATTGAACGAAATTACTGTTGCCGACCCCAATATCGTTTGGGACTAAGGCTTGGATGTTGATTGAACGAAATTACTATTGAGGATCATGTTAAATATTTTTATATAATTTTTTCTTGAATTATATAATAAAATACATTTTAAATATAATTTTTCCATAAATTAGCAGAATCAGCCAATCCAAACACTTTAACCAGAACTTCATAAATTTATAGCAGAATCAGTAAGAGGAGACGATTTGCGTATTACCAAACGGGCTCTAAACCTTTTAATTTTGCCCCCAATAACATTTTTCCCTGGATCCGCCACTGGGTGGGGCCAAAATTTAATCACGTAACTTACTTTGCAAAAATGTCAAAAATAACAAAATGTAGTTGAATAATATTACAGAAATATCAAAGAAAAAAATGTATAACAGAACTGACAATTTAATTATCTTAAAAGAGTCATAGATACCGAACCGAAATTGGCACAATTACTGAAATATTCAGTACCAATTTTCAAGTCGATTTCTCGAAAATCAATTTTCTTTGACTCCCATAGTCTATGCTCTATGTAAATAAGTAAACTAATTAAATGTCACCCACCAAGCGTACAATGAGTTGAATTATTAAGTAGTATTATTCAGATAAATATTCAAAAGACCAATGAATTGAACTAATTAATTTTTCAGACTAATATTCATAATTCTTAAAAATCGAACTAATCAATTCTTCAAGCTAATATTCAAAATCCCAATGAATTGAACTAATTAATTTACCGGGCCAATAACTAAAAGTCTAATAAATTGACCTAGCCTAATTATTTTTTTAGACTAATATTCAAAATTCCAATGATTTAAAATATTAAATTTTCAAAAAGTCCAATGTATAAAACTGATCGATGGAGATGGCGTTGAAGGAATAATCCTTCTCTTCTTCCATGTGGGACAAAGAAGAAAAATTGGAAATTTTAAAACATTAAACACACTAGTCTTCAAAAATTTAGACAGTGTATCTAAAAATGAACTTGTGCTGCACTAAAAAATTACGTAGTATAAGCGTATGTCAGCAGCGGTCATTGTACGGTGAGTATACTTCCATCAGGCCAACATGAGTAATGTTCAAAATTCGGTATTACCTATTATTATAGCATAACTATTGAAACACTATTAATATATACATAATATATATAAACTAGTAATTATATTTTTTAAGCATGGGGCTAGGCCCTCCCTGACCATGGGCCAGATCCGCCCCTGGGCACATATACTCGTCGGTAGCACCGAGCATGAACGTATGGCAACCGTAAAACACACGATGTGTCGGGTAGCGCGGCAGCAGAACTGGTGGTGGTGGGACCATTAAGTGCTGCACCGCTTGGGGCGTGAGGTGCCAGCCCACCGTGCTAGGGACACGACAATGGGATCCTTTGAATATTTTATGTGATATTATCATTTGTGAGAGGTGAATCTTTTTTTTTTGTCATTGAAAAGATGCTAGATGTTTTCATGTCATTAGCCTTAGTAAGATGATTTCTTAGTAATTTATATTGTGTAATATTTTATTATTTCTTTTTACTACCTCCGTTTTTAAACAAGTGTAATATGTTGAATTTTACACTGTTCACATGTTATACTTTGACTACATTTTATTTATTAATGTATTGATATATCTTTTCAAAAAAATATTGTTAGATTTTCTCATTATAAATTTTCAATTTTTTTTTTATTTTTTTTACTGATAGAGAATTATATATATTAACAGTCAAAGTTGTGCTTCGGCAAATGTAAAAAGTTGTTTGTTGTACTTGCTTAAGAACGGAGGAAGTATATATTTTATTCCCTTTCATATTTTATTTAAATATAAATACAAAAAGATGAGATGAACTACTCCCTCCGTTCTTTTTTATTAGTCTCTTTAGGCTTTGGCACAGGTTTTAAGAGTAAAGTAGTAGAGGTAATGTAAGGATGTTTTTACTTGGACTGTAATTTGCTAGTCTGGTCTGGTCTGATCTGGTCTGGTCTGGTAAGGTCTGGTTTCTTTGTATTTTTATAACTATCCAAGTCTGGTCTGGTCTGGTCTGGTCTGAACTGGTCTGGTCTGGTCTGGACTGGTCTGGTCTGGTCTGGGACAAATTACAGTCCAAGTAAAAACATCCTAAAAAGGTGTAATGAGTAGTGGGTAAATGAAAAAGTAGGAAAGAGAAAGGGGTAATGGTAATAAAAGTGAGGGTATAAAGGTATATTTAAAGTAAAAACTTTCCTTAAATGGAAAGGAGGACAGATAAAAAAACGTCCCAAAAAGGAAAGAAGGACTAATAATAAAGAACGGAGGGAGTATTATTTTCATTTTCTATATCTAAAATATAAAATTGAGTTAATTACCAATTTAGGAGTAAAAAGTTTATAATTTGCCAAAATAGGAGTATTCACGTAACCTATGTTTGATAGGAGTCTTTTAAGACCAAGTTGACAAAAATAACCCTCTTGTAAATCGCATAAGCGACTTAAAATTGAAGGCTCATCATTCAAGAGTCGGTAAAAAAGCATTGGCATAAAACTTCAAAAACCCGGCCTTGTTGGTGTACCACTGCTGTCGCTGGTGCTATCTGCCTCCGCCTCCGCCTCCAGCCTCCCACACAGGTGTTGCCCACCTCCACCTCCAATCCCGGCGTTGCCATCCATCTCTGTCCAACCGCCATAGCTATCGGCCGCCGCCCAACCTACCTCGCCGGCTAAAACTGCCGTCATCGCTATCCCTGAAGATTAATTACAAATCTTCAATGAAAATGAATTTTTTAAACTGTCAAAATATTGGCAGATTTTATGTGGCAGATTTGAACAAAACTGCATAATCTTGGCAGAATATGAACTCGACAACTACATTTATGCCATGAACTTGGCAAAAATTTATGCCATCATCCAAAAATTGAGAAAATCAGGAAAATTTGAAAAATTATAAACTGGAAATACGAAATAGAAGTCCAACAATCAATGAACCGAATGCCAAAAAAAAAGAGGAATAGAAAAAATCTGAAAAATAGAATAATAGGAGGAGGAAGAAGAAGGAGGAGGAAGATGAAGAGAAGGAGAAGAGACCTGATTTGTAGGCAGCATGTATGCCTGGACTCGGGCCGGTTCGGGCCCGGTTCAGGCCTGGGCCCGGCCGGGCCTCGGGCCAGGAAAGGGAGGCCCGAGCCCGAACCGCCGGTGGCCGGTTCCGGTCCCGGTTCCGGGCCAAACCGGGCCGAACCGGCCCAATAATATTTTTTTTTTTTTTTTGTTCTCCTATTTAATCCCCTACCCCTCCCCCTCAACCCCAAACCATCCCAAACCACCTCAAATGGCCCAAAATACCTAATCCAACCTAAAACTTAAAAAAAATTCAAAAAAAAAATATTAAAATCCGGCCCGGACCGGGCCCGAACCGGCCGGGCCGGTTCACCAAAACCTGGGCCCGGGCCCGAACCGCCCAGCAGCCAGGCCGGGCCAAACCGAACCGAGGGACCCACCGGGCCCCGGGCCGGGCCGGGCCAAACAGTAACCGGGCCGGGCCGGTTCCGGGCCGGGCCGCCCGGCCCGAGTCCAGCACTAGCAGCATGCAGTGGAGTCTGCGGCAACAGAAGAAGTCGACTGGTCTGATTTGCAGGGAAGAAGCCGATGGATCTTTGCAAGGAGGAAAAAACCGAACGATGGAGAGGGGAGAGGATGATGCGCAGAAAGGAGGGAGAAGAAGGTGAGCGGAAAGAGTAGATCTATCGTGAGTTAAATATAGTAGGGTAATAATGGAATTGAAAAGTCTGTATGTTTTGAATAGGAGTAATATGATCCTATTTGGGGAAGAAAACATGTATACTCCTATTTAAGAATTTTTCTCAAAGTTTACTCCTATATGAGGCAATTTCTGTATAAAATTTGATCAAATAAAACAATAACATATGAAAGTATGAAACCGAATCAAATTGTACTAAATTGGATCTAGTAATTTCACTTTGGTGTTCCAAACTTGAAACAAAATCGAATCGAAAACGAACGGAAATCAAACCAAAGCATAATAAATGACATTAGTTTGATACAACATATCTCAAACCGAATAAAGCAAAACCGAACTATAAACCGACTTGTCACCCATAGTTTTGTTTCATTAGGGTTTGGATCGGATTGATTCAATGTTGGTGTATTCTCATCCACCCGACCACCAACTTAGAGAAATAGGATCATACCTACCCAATTCCATCAGCACCGAGAGAGGTAGAGATGAAATATTGAAATATGCCAATATGCTATGGAATAGTTCGGTACCTTCAGATGAACGGTTGGTAGAAGCTGCCAGAAAGCGATACATTACTTTGATGTAACGCATCATACATTCGATCAATTCACATTACAAAGTAGTGTGTGTCTGTGTAAGATGCTTGCTCGAATTTGGTTTGTCTTATCTAAAAACAGATTTTATGTATATCATTCTCCTTCTATTCCCTATAATTTTGTCATCCTTCTTTTTTTGGTTGTTTCAAGAACTTTGTTACTTTTACTTTCACTTTTTGGAGCTCTCTCCATCACACATATATTTCAATCACACAATTTTTACTTTATTACCATTTGTGTCAGTCAAACATGACAAAGTATTGAGTGACGGAGAGAAGGATATTTTTATCAATTATGCTTCGTTTATTTTATGTTTTATACTTGTTGATTTGTAAAGCTATATATGTATATGCTGCGTCAAAAATAGGCTTACGTATTATTACGTATACATTAAGAGTAACCAGTTACTTCACCGCCTCATCGGTTGCACCGGAGTGAAATATCAACAATCTAAAATAAGATGTTTGTAATAGCAAACTAAGACATCAATTGTAAAAATTAAATGTAAAACATTAAAGGGACACGTGAATTCATGAAAAGAAAATTATACATTATTGCTACGTATAAATTTATGTGTATACAACATTCAATGCAGACTTGATTGATTGTCCACCTTTGTCACAAATCACAATAGAATATTAAGATGGACTTGTTACTCTGCAAGTGGTGGATCTATGAATTATGCTTTGGATCTTCATTTTTTTTCCTATAATTAACATTTGAAAAGAAAATAAATAATAAAACTAAATTTATACACATATACTAATTTAACATATCATATTTTTCAAAATTCTAGGTGTTCATGTGATGAGGACCTTTGAACTAATAAGGTGGCTCCATCACTGACTCTGGGGACCGTCACGTACAATTGTTCATGCTTACCAAAAGATGGAGGTAGATGTTAACCTTTCATCAAATAGCCAATCATTAATAAAAATTATGTGTGTGCTAAAAGTGAATAGAAATCTAATGTTTGATGGTGTTAATAATGTAAGGGTATGAATAAGAAACTTTTCATCAAAAGGAAAAGTCATACTACCTCCGTCCCAAAATTTTATTTTAAATTTTATTATAAAGAACGATAAAGTTGAGGTACTTTTAACAAAGAACAATTTCATATCATTTTTTATATTATAAATAATTTCTAATAAAAATATATAGTTAGTTAAATTTTTAAAAATGACTAAGTATTTTGCGACGGAGGCATTATTTAAGACTAACGTTTTAGGTCTGTGCATTAATATTTAAGAATGATAGCATGAGCTTTAAGTTTTGTCACCAAATTAGTTGGTAGATTCAAATGAATGATCTATATTTCTCATAATTATCACAAGCACCCTCAATTTAAATTTTATTTCATGACTTAGACAAACTCTAGACAAACTATAGATTATGGGAAATAATTTTTATATGGCTCATATATTTATCTCAACAACGTTCCATGCTTTACATATATTCCTCTAGATCCCATGAAAAAGGTGGAAATAATTAATCTAATAAGAAATCAAATTAATTAATCTAATAAGAAATCAAATTAATTAATCTAATAAGAAATCAAAAGTTGGAAATAATTAATCTAATAAGAAATCCATAATCACTTTATTATGATGTTTTTACTTGGACTGCAATTTGTCCCAGACCAAACAGATCAGACCAGATCAACAAATTAACATATGGACCAGACCAATTCAAACCAGATCAGACCAGATCAACAAATTAACATGGACCAAGTTTTACTTCGTATGTGAGAAGGAACTACCGTAGTATTTACGCGTGATTTAATAGCCTTTTTGCTATGGGAGTATGATGATGATCTAGCAAATGGACAATGAAGTTGCGTTCCCCTTGTGTCATTACTCATTAGTGACGACTACTCCTTCAACAGGAAACTCAGGAATCAATACCTTAGCTTCATGTCCATGCGACTTGATCGGATTGTCCACTTGCAAAGACTCCGATCCCTTCCCCTTTGGAATATTTCCAACTTTATCGTTCATATACATAATGATATTAATTGGACCGTCAATCCCGCATAGTCGCTGAAAGAGACCAAAAAAGACCGCACGGTCCAACCACCACAAATATATATATATGGAGTAATAATATAATTATTAATTAATGAAACACACGTAAATAAAATTGCCTTTATATATCTTGCGACGCGGCAGCGCGGAAATGGGGACCGTGGTGGAACAAAGGTGTTGGCTGTCATCTCTACGCCGGGAAGGCCGCCGCCGTCACCAAGCGTGCTCACGCTCCGGCCGCCGAGAGACTTCCGTCTTAGTTTTTAGGAGAAGTCGCAGTGGTGAGGGACTGGGATGTGGTCATTCATTGAAGTCGAGCTGCTGCAGTACTGCAACGAGTTGGAGCGGTGGTAGCTGTTCGCCGGAGAAGGGATATGTTGAAGAAGAAGGGGAGGTGTTGGTGGCGGCGTTGAGGGAGGCGGAGCCGAATATTGCGGCGCTGAGGGGGTGTACTTTGGTTGTCGTCATTTCTGCGGAGGTCGCCGACAATCCTCATCATCTTTCTTCCTTACTCGAGGTACGTACGCGCCCCGGTCTTTCTACTTAAAATTTGACCAAATGTGATTAATAAAATGAAAAATAATTGTACACATGTATGTCTTCCGCAGAAAATTTGTCTATCACAGACAACTGTTATTAAGTGACAGACAATTTTTTGTGAAGGACAGACATGTATACACATTTTGTGTACATGAGAGATAATTTTCTGAAACCACGAATTCCTGATTTAAAAGAGAAAGTGACAAATTAAAGTTAATTGAATAACAAAAAAATGGACAAATTTGCAAGGGACGGAATATATTGAAAGAAAACATGTAAAAGTGTAAGGGAGTGTTTGCAACTGCTTAAAAAAAAGCACTTCTCAGCTTTTGGCTTTAAAAAGCACTTATTTACCAAACACTACCAATTTTTACTTTTTCTCGGCTTGCGTGTGAAAAGTGCTTTTCCTTTTTCTATTACACAAAAAGCACTTATTTTACCAAACACTACCAACTTTTACTTTTCAAAATCACTTTTTTCTCAAACACTATCAACTTTTACTACCAATCACTTTTTCCTTACTTCTCCAAAAGTGCTTTTTTTAAGCAGAAGCAGTTGCAAACACTCCCTAAAACACGAGGAAATGAGAAAGTCATCTTTTAAAAAAGGAAAGCAATTATTTCTAAAGAGTTTCCAAAATGAAAACGTACTAAAAACAAATTAAAACATAGACTAACTTTAGAAATAGGATTACTACATTTTACGCACCAAATACGATTTATTTAATTCTATTAAAATAAGTAATACTCCGTACTACGTACATAATAACAAGTTGATTAAAACTCTCCAAAATATGAGTGATGGAGTGAACTTTATTTTAGTTTTTATTATACGAGAATTTCTCTTTATACTAAAGTCATAAAATAATGGTGGTCAGTTGAATAATAATATTATTAGATTTTAAATGTGTTTTCACTTTTCACACTTCTATGTTATACGAGTACATAGTATGTTGCTGTGTATTTTTTTACTCTAGTACTATATTGCTGTGTTGTAAAATAAGAATGCGCTGCTTTATCTAAAACTCAATACTAGTACTAGAGTAATACTTGGTACATTTTGTAATACAAAATTTTATCTCGAGTATGGAAAAATGTCACACTACATATAATTACATTCTAGTATTCTAGTATATATAATTACATATACTAGTATACAAATTAAATATGATCTAGATTTTTCAAGATTTGAACAAATTTTTTTGACTAGGCTAATCTCGAACTTTTTTTGTAAGGGCTCATATCTAGTTCTAGAGTAGACTTATCCCCCTCTAGGGGTACTTTAGTTATCGGTTCTATAGGAACTGGACCATCTTATTTGGATCACTTCGGATTATCGTATCCTTTTAGGGTTTCATTCCAAGCTTTCCATGCAAAACATCTTTGACTTTTTGTAATCCATAATTGATTAAATTAAATTTTGTAAGAGGAAGCGGTCCAGTCCAGCTGGTCGCCGACTCACTCTCCTTTACGAAATATCTTAGGTTCGAAACTAAATTAAAATAAACTAATTAACTGATTAACTGATTACTCCAGGCCCCCAGACCCACCCCCTTCCCCTAGACTCCCTGGAGTACAAAAAAAAATCAAATTTTGCAAAATTATTCAATTTGGGCACGTGGATTAACAAACCAGTATTGGACCTAACGGTCTTTTTCGTCTCGTTTGGTTTTATTTTGAATAATTCTATTCACAGTTCTCTATTTACTAAACACAATCACAAAATTAAATATTAATGAATTAAATAAATGCAAATATCCAAATTACCCTTATTATTATATTATTATTATATTATATAGCCGCAACTTTCTGGTGCCGAAACTCTGCTGAGCACCATCCTTCGATGTGAAACTGCCGCAAGAGGTGTGTAAATTAATCACCTTGAAGAAGAATTGAGCTTGGCCTGATTTCATCAAGTGGCTCGAGTTTGGGTGGGAAAAGTTGGAGAAATTGAATCAAAAATTTCATCTCAGAATCCTTTTCTCCTGCTTCTAGAAATTAACAGAGATTAATTGATGACCAGTTATCGAAAGTCTAAACAAATTCGAGAATTGGCGATTCCTGAAAATGGGAAGTGGAAGTTGGTGATTCATGGAAGTTAGTAGAGCTACGGAAAAATGGCTCTAGTGGATATGCCAATACAAGTAATTAGTGGAGACGTAAGCTTCAGACAGATCTAATGTTGAGCTTGAGTAAATTCCGCTGGAGGCGTTGAGAAAATTCTGAGCATGGTGCGACAGCCAGAGGCATCGCTGTTATAAGGGCAGTAAAGGAATTATAAAAAGTATTTTTATCGTGAGTGTCCAGTTAGCAAAAGAGGTGCTGTATATAGAATTACTCTTATTTTGAGCAAATGAATTGCTTTGACTTTGTTCGAGTCGTTCTCTCGTCAATTGCTTTCTGGTAATATTATGAAACTATCCGATGGTCTTACTGAACTAAGGTAAATGCCTGCGCAGGATATTTCTCTCCTTCATGAATTCGGAATCAAATTCGTTCTTGTGCCAGGGACCCATGTGCAGATCAATAAGCTTCTATCCAAGCGTGGTGAGTTTGATTAAATTTAATTCTTCGTCTTTTCAGTTTCTGATCTTTCTCAACCGTTCATACTTTTAGCATATGTGATCTGCACCCTCCATAAGTGGCCCTTCGATGTTTTCTGAACTGGGAAAGCTGTTTTTGCTTCCGTAGAATTAGTTTCAGTGAGCAATGAGGGAAACAATTTTTACTTGAACTGAAGCTTAATTGTGTGATTTCTCATGTTGGGTAAGAATGGGGTCTTCTCTAAAAGGTAGACAACTCATCCTTCTTCCGGATATGTTTTGTGGTGTCCGTGTCACTTCCGAGTTTCTAGCTCTAGTTGGGCTGTACCGGGTCTGGTTCCGGACCAGGACTGTACTTTCCGCCTTCCAGCCGGTCCTAGAGCCGGGCAAAAAAAGTTGGTAAACACGTTTTCAGATTTGAAAATGGAAAATTAGAAAATGAAAACAGAAAATTGGAGAACGATAAGTCCTAATTAGCTCTAATTTGGTGTTGTTCCTGGATCGTGGTTATATAGGAGTACTTTTAGAATGTGAGCATTAGCGTAATTGCGTTACATGCTAACGTGAAGTAGTGATAACTGGTGTCTGGTGATGTGAGTATTATCTCATGCAGTGGAGGCATCATCATACTTAGCTCTAATGCCATTATAAAATGAAGAAAAAGCAGCATAACCACATGGGTCTCTGAGTATATATATTTATATAAGAAGCATGAGTTTTTTTTCAAGCTGTAACTCTGTAAGTATAAGCTGTAAAGTCTTTTCTGCTCTGTAGAAGTACCCATACTGGGTACCTTTGGTTGCCTTGGGTACTTTGTGGTTTGCCTGGGTATGTAAATTTAAGGTTTTTTATACGTAGTATTTTTTGGATGTGTCACAAGTAGGGTACTGGAAAACTTTTATATGGTTTTTTTCGCCTCTAAAACTTCCGTTAAACCTTATCAGAACCCCATTATAAAGTATACAATTATGATCTAGAATTTTCCAAGGTGCCACTCTTATCATTCTTTTCTACGTTTTCCTATTTTTCCTAACTCCCTCTCTCAGGATGCCTTTGTCTCATAACCTAGAGTTAGGACTTGATTGTTTTAATATGGTTTTAAGTTCTAACAATTTAGACCTGTTTTGTATTAAATGTAGTCTTTGTAAATTTTTAATTTGAAATTTCAGTGCTTATTATTATTTTTATTTATTAAATGTGAATGTTAAAACTTTTAAATATGTATCTCCGTACCTGTAACTTTGATTTCACAAAACTTTTGTACCTTGTACACGATCATACCCATACCTAGCTATTATCTAATATTCTATGCTGTCTTATCACGAACTAGCTTAGGTTGGGGTGGTTCGAGTCCTTACTTCCTATCTTTACTCTTTTATATGCCTTGTATTAATCTCAACTAGTAATTGCAATTTCATGCTTATCCTGCTTAAAAAAAAATCTACTATTCTTACGAGTTTTGATTGTAATTTGTTTTAACAGGAAGTGAACCTAAGTATGTAGGTCACTACAGAATCACAGACACTGATTCCCTAGAGGCTGCAATGGATGCTGCTGCAAGAATTCGAATACTGTTAGAGGCAAAACTATCACCTGGACCTCCCCTGAGTCTTATCCGCCGACATGGAGACAGTAATCGCTGGCATGACGGTGTCAGAGTCACCAGTGGTAATTTTCTAGCAGCTAAGGTGTGACATTTTTTAGTCTATGCATATTTATGGACCTGCTCTCAACTTATTACCATTACTTAATTGCTCAATGAGATCAACTAGTAATTTTTAAGTTAAGTCATTTTCAATATGTCCTACTATAGCGTTTTTTTTGCATATGCTATGTTCTACTATAGCTTACTCACGTCTTCTAATATACTTCCTGGCAGAGAAGGGGAGTTGTTGAGGGAATCGATTATGGGTCTACTGGTGAAGTGAAAAAGATTGATGTCTCTCGAATACGCGAGAGACTTGATCAAGAATCTATTGTTATAATTAGCAATGTTGGCTATTCAAGTTCTGGACATATTTTGAATTGCAAGTATGCTATATATGGCTGTAGGCTTTTAATAGGTATCTCTATTGTCACTTTGCATGAACTGCTGTGAAGCATCAGTTTTACTTTTTTTGTTGTCAACACTGATGCCTAAAATCTCATAATAGCTATGGTTTAATTAGTTATTAGTTATTACAAATTACTTCATTTATTAACATCAAGTAACGGTTTTAGAATTGCAATATTTGTAGGGGCGGCCATGGAAGTTTATTAATATGACATGTTTCTTGATTTGCATGTTAATTTTACAATATCAATCATGTAAACGGATATGAAATTAACAATTACCTGAAGGCATCACTGTCTCATGAATTTTTTCTATGCATGTCGGATGAACCTATGATGATGACAGATTTAGAATTCCATCTCATTATTCCTTCCTAGAAGGTTGAGAAATGAATTTCTTGCCACTGGCCCTATGAGCTGGGATTATGGTTCTGATAATGATGGTGAGGAATGAATAAATGTGGTCAATACCCTCCAAGAAAATACCACATGAATCCACACCCCACAAGGCCACGATTGACATGGTTTTTAGATGTTAAAACTTGATAGTAGATATTAATTGCATATACCTGTGATAAATGATAATTCCGACATCTATTTTATCGCTCCATTTTGCTTAGTTGTTATTTGTTAAAGATTCTTGGGAACTAATGTTGTTCAGTATGCTACATTTCAGCACATATGAAGTTGCTACAGCCTGCGCATTGGCCCTCAGAGCAGAGAAAGTCATTTTCATTCTTGATGGTCCAATATTAGATGAATCTGGACGTCTTATTCGTTTCTTAACAGTTCAGGATGCTGATTTGTTGGTCCGCAGAAGAGCTTATCAAAGTGAAACAGCTGCAACTTATGTGAAAGCTGTGAGTCATGAAGACTTACCACTGGGCTATCAAGTTTCTAATGGATTAGTTTTTTCTCATAACAGAAATGGATATAGAGATAAATATAACCCCACATTCCACAATGGAGTTGGCTTTGACAATGGGAATGAGCCTTGGTCTGGTGAACGAGGTTCTGGAATTGGAGGGCAAGAGAGGCTAAATCGGTGTCATGGTTACCTTTCAGAGTTAGCCACAGCAGCTTTTGTTTGCAGTGTTAGATACTGATCTCTTCTGTTTTTTCCTCCACCTCCTCCCAAATACTTGGTATCTTAAAGAAGGAAAAATATAACTTATCCATACAAACACTTCCCTACTAAACTTTAAATTTAAATTATTTGGCAGCTTGGGTGTGCGAATTAAAGATTTTATCACGAACACTATCTCTAATTAAATGTGCAACCCCAACACGTCAAGTATATTTATGTATCTGCTTGTATGTAGCAAGTTCATCGTGGATGTTATTAATTGGACTAAAATTTACTGGTATGGTCTGATACTCTGATCTGGTCTGGACCGTCTGGTATGGAAGATGTATGGTCTATATGTATTTTACCGATGTCGAAGTCTGGTCTGTTCTTTTTAAGTCTGGTCTTATCTATATAAGTCTGGTCTGGTCTGTTTAAGTCTGGTTTGTTCTGGTCTGGTTTGAGACTGAAACTAGTCTAAGTAAAAACATCCTTAGTTGTTACTTGTTAGGATGAATGCTAGTATACTACAGAGTAAAAAAAGAAGTTGCTTCAAATATGACTAAACATAGACAAAGTGCAAAAATAGGAGTAGTTATGTTCTAATCCCAAAATAAAACTTATTTGATCCTATTAAAGGTATACAATTTCCCCAATTAGGAATGAATGAGTCATATTAGGAAAAACTTAATAATGGTCTTATTTGTGCACTTTGATTATGTCACAGTCCTATTCAAAGAATTTTCTCTATACTAAAATTCTCGATCTTGTTATCTCTTCTGTTTTTAATACTCCAGGGAGGTGTTCAAAGAGTTCACTTGTTAGATGGAACCATCGATGGAGTTTTATTGAAGGAGTTGTTTCAAAGGGATGGCTTTGGTACAATGGTGGCTAGGTATGGAATCATTTGATAAATCTTGTACTGAAATGCGCATGTGTTGGTTTCGCATTTTAACAACTGAACACCTTCCCATATTTAGTGAACACCCGTCTCTGCTGCAATGTGTAGCAGTATGGACACCTTTAGTTTTTGAAATTCTTGATAAAATATAAGTAAACATAACACTCTTTGCTTCCCAAAAAAGAGTCAACTCAACCAAGGATCGTCTAAGGTGCATGCTTTAAGTTATGAATGGTCACTTATACGGTTATACCCCTACATTTTTGATAGCAAACTATCCAAACGATACAGAAATTCAGTCTTCAATCAATCAGAAAGAAAGTAATCAGTTTATTAATGGCAGCCAAATCTGTTACAAACAGCCCAAGCTAGAGATAGAACTCTAACTTCCTGAACAAGACAATGAGTCTATACAAGCCCGCCACCAACAGACAACTCGGCTTGCTATTTATAGCTTTCCTTAACAAGAAAGTAGTTATTAGTTGTTTAACTGCTATAACTAATAACAAAACTACTAGTCTATTTAGGCTTCCTCGAGTACACTTTGCCAAATCTACCATCATTTACTAGACTAGTAGTCGGGTACTTATCAATACCCTCCCCTTGAAGACCCCACTTGCCCTCAAGTGGGAATTCAGGAAACTGCTCCTGAATGACTTGCACTTCTTCCCACGAGTCTTCAAAATCTGGTAAATTCTTCCAGTGAATCAGTATCTCCTTCTTCCCTGCTTGAGTAACTCTACAATTTTTCACAGTTTCAGGGTATACTTGCAGTTCACATTCTTCAGTTAAGCAACTGGGAAGCTTCTGAGCAACAACACTAGGCTTAATTGCCTTCTTTAACAGAGAAATGTGGAACACTGGATGTATCCTACTTTCAGGAGGCAGCTTGAGCCTGAAAGCTACATCATTCAGTTTCTCAACAATCTCATAGGGTCCATAATACCTTGGACTCAATTTCTGATTGATCTTCTTCACCAGACTCTTCATTTTATAAGGCTGAATCTTTAGAAAAACCATGTCCCCCACTTCTAGCTTTACCTCTCTCCGCTGCTTGTTGGCCTGCTGTTTCATTAAGTTTTGGGCTTTAGCTAGATTTTCCTTTAATTCATCCAACATCTGGTTCCTTTCATTAGTTAGCTTGGCTACCTCTTCAACCGCAGTCAAGTTTACATCCCCTCTAATGATAGGTGGAGGTGCCTGACCAAATAGAGCCTGATAGGGAGTGCTTTTGAGAGAACTGTGGTAATTGGTATTGAACCAATACTCTGCCCATGGGAGCCACTTAACCCACTGCTTAGGTTTTGTTCCAGTTAAGCACCTAAGATAGGTTTCCAAACATCGGTTGACAACTTCAGTCTGACCATCACTCTCTGGGTGATAGGCAGTGCTATATCTGAGTTTAGTTCCAGCCAGTTTGAACAACTCAGACCAAAAAGAACTTAAGAAGATACTGTCCCTGTCACTCACAATTGATTTTGGAATTCCATGAGTTTTAACCACCTCTTGAACAAATATTTCAGCCACACCTTTGGCATTAAAAGGATGTGCCAGAGGTATGAAATGAGAGAACTTAGTCAATCTGTCCACTACGACCAAAATGGTATCTTTACCTTGGGATTTTGGTAGGCTACCAATGAAATCCATACTGATATCAGCCCAAATTTTATCAGGTATGGGTAGAGGCTGCAAATACCCTGCAGGTTTGAGAGACTGATACTTGTTTCTTTGGCAAGTATCACACCCCAGAATATAATTCTTGATATCTGTCTTCATTCCTTCCCAAAAGAACAGAGAAGATATTCTTTTCAAAGTCCTGAAGTACCCAGAATGACCTCCCACAGCTGAATCGTGGTACTCCTTCAAAATTGTCAAAATTCTAGAATTTGCTTTAGGTATTACCAACCTACCTTGATAATACAACAATCCTTTTCTGCATCTGTATCCTTTGAAAGGTTCAGGCTGTGTCAATACCTTCTGCAAAATCTCTGCACATTTAGGATCCTTCTGTAACTCCTCTGCCAGACCTTCCCATTCCAAACAAACAGCTGTGGATAAGGCTGCATAAGTGAACTGTCTTGAGAGTGCATCTGCTGCTTTATTTTCAATGCCTGGTTTATATTTAATGATAAAATTGTATCCCAAAAGCTTAGATATCCATTTCTGTTGGTCTTCTCCCATGGCTTTTTGTTCAGTCAGGTACTTCAAACTTCTTTGGTCTGTATGGATTTCAAACCGTCTGCCAAGCAAATAGGGTCTCCATTTTTGTACAGCCAATACTATTGCCATCAACTCCTTTTCATAGACAGATTTAGTAAGGTGCTTAGGTGAAAGTTCTTTACTCATATAAGCAATTGGGCCTCCCTCTTGCATCAGTACAGCACCCAACCCCCTGCCAGAAGCATCTGTTTCCAGAACAAACAATTTGTTAAAATCAGGGACTCTCAACACTGGTAGTGACATCATGGCTTGTTTAAGATCATTGAAGGCTTGTGTTGCAGTTTCACTCCATTTAAACCCATCCTTCTTCAATAGATTTGTTAAAGGTGCAGCAATTTTGCTATAACCTTTAACAAACCTCCTGTAATAACCTGTGAGGCCCAAAAATCCCCTGAGCTCCTTGATATCTTTAGGGATTCCCCAATTCTTCATAGCCATTATCTTATCAGGGTCAGCTGCAACTCCATTTGCTGATATTCTATGCCCCAAATAACTCAGTTGTGCTTGACCAAAAGAACATTTCTTTAGGTTGGCCACCAAACTGTTCTTCCTTAGAGCTTCCAAAACCAATCTCAAATGTTGTTCATGGTCAGTTTCATTCTTACTGAAAACAAGAATGTCATCAAAAAATACCAGTGCAATCTTCCTCAGATAGGGCCTTAGGACATCATTCATCAAGGATTGGAAAGTGGAGGGAGCATTAGTTAACCCAAAAGGCATCACTAAGTACTCATAGTGACCCTCATGGGTTCTAAAAGCTGTTTTGTGAGCATCTTCCTCCTTCATTCTTACCTGATGGTAACCAGACTTTAGATCTAACTTTGAAAAGATTCTGGCTCCACCCAGCTCATCCAACAACTCTTCAATCACAGGTATTGGGAATTTGTCTGGAATAGTAACCTTATTCAATGCCCTATAATCACCACAGAATCTCCAACCCCCATCCTTCTTCTTGGCCAATAAAATAGGGCTACTGTATGGGCTGTTGCTTGGTCTAATTATCCCAGATTTGAGCATTTCCTCAATAATTCCCTCTATAACATTCTTTTGATCAAATGAGTATCTATATGGCCTTAGATTAGGGATCTGTGCTCCTTTTATTTTAATAGCATGATCACATGCTCTTTTAGGAGGAAAAGGTAAAACAGATGTAAAGACTTCAGGGAATTCTGCAATTACCTTACCCCAAGTCCCTTCGATAACCTCCTGGTGCTCCTGGTCATCCCTTTTGCTTTCCATAGCCATTAGATACCCTTCACCATGGTGCTGCACTATATTCATCAGAACCTTCATAGATACTTCCATTCTGTTTGAGGTAGTATCCCCTTTAATCAAACAATCCCTTCCTTCTTGCTGCCATTTCAGGATTTTATCTCTGAAGTTGACTTCCATGTCACCCAGTGCAGTCAGCCACTCAATTCCAAGGACCATGTCAGTACCACCCAACTCAAGGAGATAGTAGGTTTGATGGATAGGAATGCCTTGTATCTTCAATTCCAGCCCACTGCATTTGCCCAAATTAGGAACACATTCTCCATTGCCTATTTGCACCTTATATCCATGGATTGGATGATAAGGAAGAGCCCACTTATTTACCAATTCTCTTGATACAAAATTGTGGGTAGCTCCACTGTCAATTAATATCTCCACCTGTATTTCTTTTCCTTGCCATTCTATTCTGCCTTTGACTTTAAAAGTTTGCATAGAAGGAATTCCTTCTCTGCTCAATATAGACAGCTGCATAGTCTTAGATTCTCTGACAATGGAAAGCTCTGGTTGCTCCTCTTCAGAATTGCTAGTCTCTATTTCAGACTCCTCATCTCCTTCAGAATTTTCAACCAATATCATTTTATAATTCTTCATCCTGCATATATGTCCTTTTCCCCAATTATCTCCACATTTGAAGCATAAACCTCTTTTGCTTCTGTCTAATAATTCCTCCTGAGATAGTCTGGAACCATTTCTTTGGCTGCTCTGCTCCTTACTACTCTTATTTTCATCCACTTTCTTGCTTGTGCTAAACATATTGCCCTGATTAACTTTCCAATTCTTTCCATCTCCCCAATTGTTAGGCTTGTATTGTGTTTTCTTTCTTCCCTCTTTGTCTCTGAACATTAGGGTTTCAACATTCCTTTTTTCAATTAAGGTGGATAAATCCATGACCTTAGATAAGGACTTGGCAGAATGCAACTTCAATTCAGCTTTAATGTCCTTCCTCAATCCTTTAAGGAAAACACTCCTCAATACTTCATCTGACAAATGGCCTGCAAGTGCCATGGCTGTCTCAAATTGATCTCTATACTCTAGAGTTGTACCTCTTTGTTTGATGCTGAATAATGGCCCTAATGGATCCTTCACCATGTCCGGTTGAAAACGTTTTGCCATGGCCTTAGTAAAAGCTTTCCAGTTCAAGTGAGAAGTTTGTCTTTCCCACCACTGGAACCAGCTGAGGGCTTGATCCTCCATTGCTACGACAGCAACATCGATTTTGTCATCCTCATGTATCTGGTTCAACCGGAAATATCTATTCATTCTTACGAGCCATCCGAACACGTCCTTACCATTGAAAACTGGTAGATCAATTTTCCTTCCCACTGGCTGTCGGTGTTTTGGATGTCGAAGATCATCGCGATGGCTGTGTGAAACTGAGCGATCGGAGTTGTGATCGGAATCGCCTGAAGTATCACTGTTGATCGTATATCGCTGGCGATGGATAGAATGGTGCGATGTCGTGGAATGATGCGATCGCTCCCTCGATCGATTCATGTTCTTCGCTTGATCTCGTTTCTGTACCTTCATTTCATCAAATCCAGCTTGCAATCCCTGTATCATTGTAAACAATTGTTCACATCGAGTATCGATCCTTTCTCCCATATTCCGCTCGATCTCAGCCAGTTTGTCCTCCATCTTCTTCCTCGTCCGAACCATTCACAGTCACGACGAGGCTCTGATACCAATTGATAGCAAACTATCCAAACGATACAGAAATTCAGTCTTCAATCAATCAGAAAGAAAGTAATCAGTTTATTAATGGCAGCCAAATCTGTTACAAACAGCCCAAGCTAGAGATAGAACTCTAACTTCCTGAACAAGACAATGAGTCTATACAAGCCCGCCACCAACAGACAACTCGGCTTGCTATTTATAGCTTTCCTTAACAAGAAAGTAGTTATTAGTTGTTTAACTGCTATAACTAATAACAAAACTACTAGTCTATTTAGGCTTCCTCGAGTACACTTTGCCAAATCTACCATCATTTACTAGACTAGTAGTCGGGTACTTATCAATTTTTCATTCATATGCTTTTAACTCTGCCTTTCTAATGTCTATGCTATACTACAAACACCAACAGTTCTAAAATAGGGCATTGGCTCCTTGTTAGTCTGCATCAACCGCTTTTTTTTCCCTCCTGCAACTCTTTTGGAGGATTTGATTCTGAGACTTATAAAACTGGACTATTTTAGGACAAAAATTCTTGATAAAAGATTCATTTTTGTAAGCACATTGGCATTAGTAGTGCTTACTGAATAGTGATCTTAAAGATGATATTTTGGCTGTATATATATATCGTGTCAAACTAATGTAAGCACTATATCTTTTTAGTGACCTTTATGAAGGAATTCGAATGGCAAGGGCATTGGATATACCAGGAATAACACAATTATTGCAACCTTTAGAAAAATATGGAACATTGGCTTGGAGGACAGAGGAGGAGGTAAGTCAGTGGGTTTTATATTTTAGGTGTTATTTGAGTTTTGCTTTCATTTGGTAAATCACTTTACATGTAATAAAAAAAATAAAACGTTTTTATGTACTCACTTCTTTATTCTAGCTTATTGTGGCATTGGATTCGTTCGTTGTTGTGGAAAGAGAGAGCCAAATTATAGCTTGTGCTTCTCTATTTGCATACTTGAAAGAAAAATGCGGAGAGGTTGCTTTTATTTCCGTTTCTCCTAAATACCGTGGCCAAGGGCAGGGAGACAAACTACTTGGTAAGGATAAACGATACATAGCCCTTCAATTTCAAAACCCCTCAAGCATTGATGTATCATGTTCTAAGGGTTTGACACTTATTATGAGAGTAATAAGACATTGCAAAATTAAGGCAAAAATAGTATCATATGATTAAAATAATAGCCCTATTGGAAAATATATTGTGATGAAGTTTTTCTATAGTGCCATACTGCCATGTAGCATTTATGGATGATAATATAATCATGGAAAATAAGCAGTTAATGTGTTCTCTAAATTCTAAAGTGACATTTACTTGAATTTGTTTTTGTATCCAAGGATTTGTATTGATTGAGAGTTTTGGAGGGGTTAGTCTGTATATTGATTTACAAGTATTTAATTGAGGTTTCATAAAAATTGAAAGATTTACATGTAATCGAAACATATTTCAATAACCGTTTATTTGTTTCTAGAAATATAGGATAAGGACTTGTTCTCATCGTCCAGAAAATGTGATTTTAGAAGATATGGTTTGGTCTAAATCTTACTGCTCTGGTCTGAAATCCTGAATGTTTCTGGTTTGAATTAACCGGAATGTTTCCAATTTTGCCTATATTTCTTGTCGAAAGTATATATTTCTGGTCTAGCATGATTTAAATGCTTCTGTTGCCACTTGGTCATTTTTATATAAGAATTTAGTAAATTTAACAGAACAGCACCTACAGCCTCTAAAGTCTTCTCCTCTAAACCCCCTCTCAACTTTCCTCCAAACAAATGTCTTGCAATTCCAAATGGTTATTTCAAAACGAATTATATACATTCTTGACAATTACAAGATATTGTGTTACTTGTTAGTAAGAGAGAGCAATGGATTGCCACTGTATTGTCTGTATATAGTGTAATTGAACTGACTTCTATGTTGAAAGTATTTGCAGATTATATTGAAAAGAAGGCATCTTCCCTCGGCATACAAATGCTTTTTCTTCGTACAACTCGTACAGAGGACTGGTATGGTTCATGCATTTTTATTGTATAGTTTTAAGGAGAATGAGTTTCTAGTTTGGTCCATGTATTCAATGAAGCAATCTATTTCATTCATTAATATCTACGTGTGGTTCATAGGTTTGTAAGACGCGGATTTTCAGAATGCTGCGTTGGTCAGATACCAGTGGAGAGAAGGAAAAGAATCAATGTTTTGCACGGGTCAAAATGTTACATGAAGAGGCTGCTGCCTGATAGAAGCAGTATTCACTTTGATAATGTGTCATTGGCATGAGAAGAGCAACATTATAGGCTGTTCGGCGCCCCGTGGCGGTATATTGATTGAATGAGATAATAAGCTGCTTGTAGCAGTGTGGCTGCAACTCTAGGTGTACGAGCTGCAAAATCAATATGGCTGTGCAAACTGCAAGAGAATAAGTGCAGCATATACTGATGTGTATACATCAACATCATGTATTATACTGTATTTCCTAAAATCCTGTTCATAACTCATAAGTTGTTCAAGTGTTATATGTTCAGAATAACGTAAATGCTTGATCAGTAGCAGGCCCGGCCGGCCGGCCTTGATATGTCTAAAACCCTAAAATTCAATATTTCTTTTATAGGTTCAACCTATTTTCTTCTTACAGTTTTCCATCCCTAGGGGGACTAGCCTAGGGATGGACTCGGGCCGGGCCAACCGGCCCGGCCCGCTACTGTGCGGGCCCGGACCGGCCCGGTCAACCGGTTCGGGCCACCCGGCCCGGTGGTATAGCAGTCCGGGCCCGGGCCTCCATTTTAGGGAACCGGCCGGGCCGGGCCCGGTTCGGGCCTCCAACGGCCAAATTTTTAATTTAAACTATAGCCGTTGGGAGCATAGGAGGGGGGTCTGGGGGGTTAGGGGGGTGGGTATAAAAAAAAATCTATTTAAACTCCTATTTTCTCTACATTTTTTACACCTCTTCTTCTACAACTCTTCCTACTCTCTAAATCTCTAATTCTCTACTCTAAATCTCTCATATTCAATCATCTTCATTCTTCATCTTCTCCAAATTCTTTCTACATATATATAATTTATATAATTATTATATCTACTTATATATTAATTATCTATTTATAAATATATACTTATACACATTCATATTATAATTCTTTACACATTATATATACTATATAAGTATAGATACTATACACATTCATATTTACTTGATATTTAGTTATTATCCATACTATTGTTATTTACTTATATTTACATAGAGAGCTCTTCTCATCAGGCCGGCCTAACGGGCTGCCCCGTCCGGCCGAGCCCGTTTGGGCACCTTCCTGGTGGAATTTTTTGATGAAATTTTTTGAGCATGTTCCTCATCAAGTCTAATTTGTTCATACCAAATTTCAGCTCAAAATTCGATCGGGAAGGTTGTCAAATGATTTTTGTAAGTTAACTGGTCCGGAAAATACATACTCCGGACCAGTTAACTTGCAAAAATCATTTGACGACCTTCCCGATCGAATTTTGAGCTGAAATTTGGTATGGACAAACTAGACTTGAAGAGGAACATGCTCAAAACATTTCATCAAAAAATTCCACCGGGAAGGTGCCCAAACGGGCTCGGCCGGACGGGGAAGCCCGTCAGGCCGGCCTGATGAGATGATTTCTCTAGTTACATATTACATTTAGTTAATATATACTTATATAGAGAAAACTTCATGTCAGGCCGGCCTGACGGGCTGCCCCGTCCGGCCGAGCCCGTTTGGGCATCTTCCCGGTGGAATTTTTTGATGAAATTTTTTGAGCATGTTCCTCATCAAGTCTAGTTTGTCCATACCAAATTTCAGCTCAAAATTCGATCGGGAAGGTCGTCAAATGATTTTTGCAAGTTAACTGGTCCGGAATATGTATTTTTCGGACCAGTTAACTTGCAAAAATCATTTGACGACCTTCCCGATCGAATTTTGAGCTGAAATTTGGTATGGACAAACTAGACTTGATGAGGAACATGCTCAAAAAATTTCATCAAAAAATTCCACCGGGAAGGTGCCCAAACGGGCTCGGCCGGACGGGGCAGCCCGTCAGGCCGGCCTGATGAGAAGAGCCCTCTACTTATATATATATATATATATATATATATAGAGAGAGAGAGAGAGAGAGAGAGAGAGAGAGAGAGAGCTCTTCTCATCAGGCCGGCCTGACGGGCTGCCCCGTCCGGCCGAGCCCGTTTGGGCACCTTCCCGGTGGAATTTTTTGATGAAATTTTTTGAGCATGTTCCTCGTCAAGTCTAGTTTGTCCATACCAAATTTCAGCTCAAAATTCGATCGGGAAGGTCGTCAAATGATTTTTGCAAGTTAACTGGTCCGGAAAATACATATTCCGGATCAGTTAACTCGCAAAAATCATTTGACTACCTTCCCGATCGAATTTTGAGCTGAAATTTGGTATGGACAAACTAGACTTAATGAGGAACATGCTCAAAAAATTTCATCAAAAAATTCCACCGGGAAGCTGCCCAAACGGGCTCGGCCGGACGGGGCAGCCCGTCAGGCCGGCCTGACATGAACATTCCTCTCTCTCTCTCTCTCTATATATATATATATATATATATATTGAGTACTCTTCCGGTCAGGAATTCCTGACCGGAACCGCCGTCCGGACGGCGGCGTTTGGCCGCCTTCCGGGTGGAATTTTTCGATGAAACTTTTATGACATGTTCTTCATCAAGTCTAGTTTATCCACAAAAAATTTCAGCCAAAAACCAATTCGGGAAGGTTGTCAAATGATTTTTGCAAGTTAACTGGTCCGGAAAATACATATTCCGGACCAGTTAACTTGCAAAAATCATTTGACGACCTTCCTGATTGAGTTTTTGGCTGAATTTTTTTGTGGATAAACTAGACTTGATGGAGAACATGCCATAAAAATTTCATCAAAAAATTCCACCGGGAAGGCGGCCAAACGCCGCCGTCCGGACGGCGGTTCCTGTCCGGAATTCCGGACATGAATAAAATTCTATATATATTAAAGTATTAAGTATAAGTGTATTACTCATCTTAGAGTAATAAACTTATATATTATATACTATAAACATTATATTATATATTACTTATAATATATTTACACATTATATATACTATATATACTTATACACATTCATATTTATTTGATATTTAGTTTTTATACATACTATTGTTATTTACTTATATTTACATATTACATTTAGTTAATATATACTTTTATATATATATATATATATATATATATATATATATATTAAAGTATTAAGTATAAGTGTATTACTCATCTTATAGTAATATACTTATATATTATATACTATAAACATTATATTATATATTACTTATAATAGTAGTAAATTGTTAGACTTCTCATTTATCTATTAAGTAGTTAATTGTTAGACTTCTCATTTATCTATTAAATTAGTTAACTGTTACATTTCTCTACATTTCTCTTTAAAGAAAAAAATAGTTAAAGTAGTACTACCTCCGTCCCTAATTGTTGTTCCAAAATAAAGTGGCACACAGATTAAGAAAGTAGGAATTGTGTGGTGGAGAGTTGTGCAGAAGAGAGAGAAATGTTGTGAACCACAAATTCTTTGCCAAAAAGGGAAAGTGAAGTTCTTTTTGGGACAGCCCAAAAAGGAAAGTTGGAACAACAATCAGGGACAGAGGGAGTATATTTTTACATTTGTCATATTTCAATTAGTTAAAGTACTTAATTGTTTCATTTGTCATATTAAAATTAGTTATTTCATACATTGCTCATTAAAGTAAAAAAAACTAGTTAAGTTTTACATTTGTCATAATAATATTAGTTAAACTACTTAATTGGTACATTTTTCATATTAATATTACTTACTTGCTACATTTCTCATTAAAGTAAAAAAAAGTAGTACATTTTTACATTTGTCATATTAGTATTAGTTAAAGTATACATTTCTCATTAAGGTAAAAATAACTAGTAAATTTTTACATTTGTCATTTTAAAAACTACCTAAAGTAGTTAATTGTTAAATTTGTCATATTAATATTAGTTAAACTACCTAATTGTTACATTTCTCATATTAATATTAGTTAATTTGTACATTGCTCATTAAAGTAAAAAAAAACTAGTTAATTTTTACATTTCTCATATTTATATTAATCAAACTAGTTAATATTTAGTTAATTGATACATTTCTCATTAAAGTATTAATTAGAAGTAGTTCGATTTTTATACTCATATTTTAGTTCGAATTTGCAATAGTTTTCTTAGTCACATTTTATTATTACTATTGTACTCATATAAAATATTTGATATCATTTAATATTTGTTCAATTTTAAAGATGGAACGTGGTAGACATTCTGTAGATGTGGGTAATCTCCAACGCAACCGCAAGAGGGAGATTGCGTCGACTCGTCCTACTTCACGCAAAGGCAAAGGTAAAGCGCGGGCCGAGTCTTCTTTTCAAAGTCGAGATGATTTTGAAACAGATTACCAACGGAGAGATGATATGATGATGTCCGACGAGCATCTACAAAACCTATTGTCCCAAAACGATCCACGCTTTGCACAAGAACAACCCATCCCGACAACCATTGATGAAGAGGAGCTCGAGGATGATGATGCGGAGGAGGACGCGGGGGGCGACGGGACTCACGGCACCCCGGATGATGAGCAAGACTTGGAGGACGAGGGCGGTTCAACCCAAACTGGTAAGAAATCTAAATCTCCTATTATTGAAAACAATCATTCTACATAATTGCAATACTTCTAAAGAAACCATTTTCCCGCTCACGCATATTGCTATTTCCACCGTTAGATCGCAAAATAGATCTACGGCATTGGCTTCTCAACTTCTCAGCTGTCTCCTTCAATTCGATCTACGGCATTAGCTCCTCAGCTTCTCCTTCCTTTCGACCGGAAAATTCCTCAACTCCTCAGCTTCGCACAAATCAAATTGCTTTCCAATTCTCATCGCTCAATTCCTCACTTGAACAAATCGATTGTTGAAGAGGCAAGGCCAAAATTGCAGAAGAGTTGGGAGAAGTAGCAGAGGAAGATGAAGCCATGGTATGGTTGTAGAAGAAGAGGCGATACCTCTGAACTCAGCCACTGTACCGCTCCTCAGTTCTCATCTCTCAATTCCTCCCATGAACAATCGATTAATGAAGAGACATGGCCGAAATTGCACATGAATTGGGAGTAATTGCAGAGGGAGACGAAGCCATGGCTGCAGAAGAGGATATGCCCCCGCATTCTTCTTTGGTGCCACTTCTCCAGGCCATCTTCGTTAGTAAGCGATGAGGTACTGTTCGTATTTTTATTTAGCAATTTTATTGATTTTATTAATTAATTTTATCAATTCTATATTCTCATTTTCATTATTCTATGATTCAACAAACTATTTTTCTTCTCATTTCCGTAATTACCAATTTCAATATTGGCCGAAATTGCAAATGAATTGGGAATAATAGCAAAGGAAGATGAAGCCATGGCTGCAGAAGAGGAGATGCCCCTGCATTCTTCTTCGGTGCCGCTTCTCCTGGCCATATTCGTCAGTAAGCAATGAGGTACTGTTCGTATTTTTATTTAGTAATTTTATTTATTTTATTATTTCATTTTCAATTCTTTATTCTCAATTTCATTATTCTATTATTCAACCAACGATTTTTCTTCTCATTTTCGTAATTACCAATTTCAATATTGTTTGCTTACTCAGATATGGATAATAAGCTCAAGTTTATTGAGCTTTTACTTGAAGATGATAGAAGAAATTTTTAGCATTCATTGGTTGTTAATAAGCTTTCTAAATTGGTTAGATCTGAGTAATAAAAAGGGATATGCTTCAGATTGTTTTTTATCAATACTAAAGAAAGTCAAGCATTGTGAAAAACTAAAAATACTATGAACAATCTGTTTTAAAGATTGCTTAATACTACCTCCTTTCATAGGTGCAAACTTAATGAAATAGACAGGGAAAATTGTCTTTTCCTTCCTCTTCTCGATTTCAAGATGTAGAAGTAGGTCGTTGGTTGAGTAGTGTTGGTTCCTCTTCTTAATTAGGATTCAACTAACTTCCCATAGTCAACCTCATCGAGGTAATTGATTCAATTTTATTTTATCTTATTTTATTGGTTTACATGTACTTTTGTATATCTTTGTTTTTTCTATATTTAGTTAATCAACATTGTTATGGAAATCCTATGATGGCATCAAATCCCGGAGATCTTGATAGTTGACATAAGCATAAGTTTCTAATGATCCTCCCATTTTTTAATTTCAATTAGGAATTAAGACTTATGAGTTATGACATTCTTTTTATATTAGAAATTGAAGTGATGATCTAACTGTACTTTGATGAGTATTAACAAGGGCTACAGTTTGGATCGTGAATTTGTCATAGTTAGTCACTTAGTCCTCAAGGCTTTGTTCTGAAACAAATGTTTGTTCAAACTCACTCTTTTTACTTCTTAAACCCTTATATGTATTTAATTGGTCAAACTCAATCGTGCTCCTCTTTATATTCTCCTTCACTTTTAACGTTGAGACTTTATCACACTATTTAGTATTAAAGTATTTAAAATAGATGACTATTTAAATTTGAAATGTCCTCTTTGCCTATTTTACCTGTGCAGTTCTAATTTCTTTGCTATTATTATAGTCATTCTGCACTGTTGCTAGGAGGATCCTTCACCAAATTGTTCTTTTATTAGTACTCCATCTGTTCAGAATAAGGTTCTCAAATTTAAATATAATAGTAGTATCATGTTGTTTAAGATCAGCTCTCACTGTACTTGACTTCTACCACCTACTTTACATAAATGAACTTTGAGAACATGAGAAATCAAATAAAAGTCATGTTAAAAGTCATATTAGAATGCCAAATCAAATATGAGAAATAAATTAATAAAGTAAAATTACAATTAGAAATCTTGATTTTTGAGAAACCAGATTGATATGTTAAAAGTCATGTTAAATATATCACTTAAATGGTGGGTAAGTAGTGGAACATCCATCTTAAATCACAGAGAATATGTAACATGTCGTTGAATCCCGTTTTATCGTATAGCGACTTCAGTTGGTTGTTCTTCCAAATGGGGTGGAGTTCATTGTTATTATTATTAGTTATTTTAAGATAACATTGAATGTAATTTACTCTATCCAATTAGGAGAATTTGGGCCAAAAGGCTGAACTTTTTGTGTTTTCCTATTGTTTGACATGGCTGGAGATTTCTCTTTTTATGGGTTTTCTAAAATTGTAAGCGGCTGCTGCTTTTTATTATCAAGAATGCTTTATTGAGGTGATCCTTTCTCTGTTTCAGTATCTACTCTTATATTATTTTAAAGGCAGACATTTTTTCTTAAGACTATGATTACATTATCTCTTTTTTTGGATTTCGTATCCGAAAGGGGCGTGTTCTTTAAGGGTTGACATTAGACCTTTAGTTCCCCTTTGGAGAGCCATTATGTTCTTGAATACTTGAGTTGAAAGTTATTTTTTAATTTATGTAGGTTGACCTGGTAGGTCATATGTAAAGGCTCTAGATCTATAGGGTGTTATGATTCTTATGAACATCATCAGATTGACAATGGTGGTGGAGTTCCTATATTCTCTTTTTTGTCAATATCTTCTTTTGGTATGCATCTCTTTTACTTGATCTGGATCTATTCCTATTGAAAGTATAAAATGTGAAGTCTATGATATATAAAATCAGTTTTTAAAATCTTCTCTGTAATCAAACAACTGATATTCCATTACTTGAAACTCGACCAACTCTAGACCTCTAGGGATTCTATTTTATATTTCAAAGTGGAAGATCCTCATCAGTACTGGCAGAGAAGAAAAAGCTATGAAAAACGAATAATTGAAAGTGTTTGTTTCATAAATTTTTCATACAAAATATACTTATATACATGGTATAATAAAAAAACAATTTTAAGAAGTCACATGTACCTGCATTTAAAAATAACCAACCAAATAGTTTAAGCTCTTTGATGCCTGTATAAGTATACATGTCAACTGATTGTTATATTAGCATTCATACCAACAACTACACTTGAAAGCATCAACCCAGTCTTACTTGCCAACTAGCACGTTTAGTTTCTTTATGGGAGTATAACCAGATGGAAAAGAAAGAAGCTTAATAAAGGAGTATAACCAGATGGAAAAGAAAGAAGCTTAATAAATTGTAAGCTTATGTGAGTATCATCATTTTTAATTAGAGTGACAAATAAAAACCAGCATTTTTATCTAAGTTTTTGTTCTTAGTGATTATTTCCTCTACAGGCAGCTTATGCTATTATGTTTGATAGCATGAGTTGTCGTTCAACTCTTTGGACCAAGAGGTTAAAAGAAGTATGCTTAGAACCCTTCATCAACTATTTTTTCAAGGATAGCATGATCTTGATCAATTGTTTTAAATTATTTTTATCCATACTCGAGAAGTCAAATTTATTTATATAACTTTCTACTTTTAAATTTATCAAGGTCATTAAAAGTGATTTGAACCTTTAGGAGGCCTCAATATTTCAAGCACCCGAGAGCTCTAAAGAAAACCCTAGCAAAAGAGAAACTTAATGTGTGAACATGCTAACCAGTAATTGAAATTTGCTTAATATGGGTGTTTTATTATGCTCAAGGTATAACTATGGAGTAGTCATTGCTGGTGAGAAAGAAGTTGTCATAGTTGCTGATTGTTTTGGACACTTTTGAAAAGCATCGATTTCCAATAAGCACACAAGTGGATGACTTAACTTACCTGGATGCTAAAGCAATACAACTAGCATGCAAGCCACTTTCTTAGTATCTTGAAATATTAATTCATTTATGCCACTTTTGTAGGTGAAGCAAAAGATGTAATTTTTGTTAGACTATTATTTTTATTCGTTGAGATTGTTCAAAAGTATCATTGATTTTGAGTTTTGCTCAACTATGTTATTTGGTCTATCCTGTTGATCTTTGTTCAATGGAGGCAGATTATATCATTTATTATTTTATCTTATTTCATCACATCCCAATATGTGTACACATGCATGCGAGGTTGTTTTTAATCCCTTATGTTTACGGGTTTTTTTTACAAAGAAAACATCCCCTTTTCCCATTCTTTTCGCCCTTATGTTTTTAAGGCAATATGGCACTCATCAAGACAAATACATGATATGTCACATTGTCACCCTTAAATTATAAGAGATGCAGTTTCGATACGTGAAACTGTGAAAATATTGTGATATTTCGATAAAAGGTTTCAAGGTTTGTTTTTATGTAAACAATTTTGATAAAAGACTTGCCATGTTGTTTATGCAACACATCATAATTTGCTCATGCATTGTGATATGTGAATCCAAACGCCATTTATATAACTTAAAGCTAGACAATATTAAAATGTGACTGTAATTTCAAGGTGATTATAAGTGACTCCTATTTAAGAAAAAATTGTAGTGCCTGTGTTTTGAAAATTCACATTATTTTTACTTTTACTTCGAATTTTTCCCCTGTGGTTATCAATATAAAAGTTGTCACAACCAAATTTTAGAGCATATTTTTTCACAATGATACTTATATAAACATTTACAAAACGTAATAATTATATCATGCATCCCGTGCAACACACGGGTGAAAATCTAGTTTTACAAAAAGGAAAGACAAAAATACCGAAAAATGGTACGCAAGTTGTAATCATTGCGGCAAAGAGTATAGCTTGGGAACTTCTGGCGGATACGGGAGTCTCACAAGGCATCTTAAGTCCGTCCATCTTGTGGAGTATGCGAAAATAGACATGGGCAAGGGGAAGCAAACACAAATATCGAGGTTTGCAAATTATCAACCCTTTGGTAATTTCTCCTATGATGATCAAAAACATTTGACTGGTATGTCTCATTTAATTGTTGAAGAAAATTTACCCTATATTTTTTCCGAAAGTCTTGCTTTAAGAGATTATGCTCAAGGCACTTTAAATCCTCAATTTAGAAATTATAGTCGCAAAACGATTAAAAAAGAAGTTATAAGGCAATATAACTTCGAAAAAGAAAATTTACAAATATTTTTCGCAAACTTTAATGGACGTGTTAGTATTTGTAGCGATATATGGGAGGATACTTAATACTTATCATCATTTATATTATTTGGGTCTTACTGCACATTATATTGATGATGATTGGAATATGCATAAACGTGTTCTTGCTTTTCGTGAATTCAATGATCGTCATACTGCTGATAATATTTATATTCTCATTGAGCGTATTTTAATTGAGTATAATTTGCTTGATAAGGTGTTTGCTGTAGGTTTTGATAATGCTAGTAATAATACTGCTGCTATACCTAGATTGCGTGAATTGTGTGGTGCTTCTACATTGATGGGTAGGTTTTTTCATCAACGTTGTGCATGTCATATTCTAAATTTGTGTGTACAAGATGGATTAGCGGCATTAGGACATGCTTTGGAGGTGGTGAAGGGGGGAATTAAATTGATTTGGGCTAACACTCCACTAAAAATGCAATGGCGGCAATATTTGAAGGAAAGACGTGTCAATTATTGTGCTTTTCCTAAAGATTTGTCTATTCGTTGGAATAGTACTTATAACTTAATTCAAGTACTTATTAGATATAAAGATCATTTTCCTGCTTTTTTAAGGCAAACTTGTAACTATATTATAAACCCGGCTGACATTGACACTTGTGAAAAAATTGTTAATGTTTTGGTATATTTTAATAACGCAACTCAAACTTTTAGTCATGTTTATAAACCTACCGCAAACGAATTTTTTGTTGCAGCTGTTAATCTCGCCGGCGCATTTTTAGAATTTTCCGATGCCGCTTACGTTAGTTATTTTTGTGATTTCATGAAACAAAAATTTTTAAAATATTATTCACATGTTCCGCATATATATGGTATTGCATTTGTTCTTGATCCTCGTTATAGACTTGCCGCGTTGCCAACTTGTATAGATTACTATTATAATTGTTTTTTTCCAACTCAAGAGTTCGATGATAATCCCATCGACCCTAAACAAGAATACAGCGAGGTTAGTAATTTATTTCATCAATTGTATAATGAATTTCATGCACAATATGGTAATGCACCCCCTCCCATGTCACGAACATCTTCTTCATCTAAAGGAAAATCACTTTTAAAATCTGCATTTGGTTCTCTTATGAAAAAAAGTAGAGCAACTCCCGCTACTGAACAAAGCTCAGTTAACGAGCTTTCTTTGTATCTAACATTGAATGTTGATTATGAAGTTGGGGATGATTTTGACGTTCTTAAGTGGTGGAAGGACAATGAAAGAACGTTCCCGGTTTTATCAAAACTGGCCAAGCAAGTGCTAGCAATGTCGATATCAACAGTTGCCGTGGAACAAGAATTTAGTGCGGCCGGCAATGTCCTAACCGATTATAGAACGAGGTTGAGCCCGAGCTCTCTTGAGACGCTAGTTTGCTTCCATGATTGGTTGAAGGCCAAACGAAGAACTCAAGAAATGACCATCGCTCCCACCCGCCACTTTATGGAGGAAACAACCACCAAAGGCGGAGATTCCGATTGATTTTTTATTTCAAAATGTATTACATATTTTAAATGCATCCTAATTCTCAATTGTACTTCTTATTTGAAATAAATATACTTGAATTATTTTATATTATTGTGTACATCAATTCAATAATTCAATTCAATAAAATTCATTTGTAAACTTGTACTTCATATGTAGCACTTCTCAAATTAATTAATTGGTTACAATTTTACAAACTTATAACTTACAACTTGAAATTATTTTTGTAAAATCTAAAGGCTGTTCTTAAATTAAAATATGTAATATTAATATGTAAATTAATTAATTTGTTACAAACTTACAAGTTACAACTTATACACCTATTTTGTAACATTTGTAAATTATAAATCAAATCACTTTTCTAAGTAAAAATAGTTTTACTTAATTAAAAAATTAAAAACATTTTCCTTACACAATATGTATAATTTTCTAAATCATATCACTTTCCTTGCACTTTTCTAAATCAAATCACTTTTCTAAGTAAATTATACACAATATGTATAATTTTCAAAAAAAAAAAAAAAATTTAAAACATTTTGAAGTGGGAGATTGCTCCCAAACGGCTATATAGCCGTTGGGGCTTAGGGTGGGGGGCAGGGGGGGTCACGGGGGTGGGGGTGGGGTTCAAAAAAATCTATAAATACATCTATTTTCTACCATTTTCTACACCTCTTCTCCATTCTCCAACTCTTCTCCATCTTCATCTTCTCTTATTATCCTACATTTCTACTTATACATCTACCATTTTAAAGATGGAAAGTAATTCTTCTGTTATGCAAAACAACTTTGATAAGTGGAAGGACCCGAAGACTGGACTGTGGTGGGCAACTTGCAAGTGGTGCAAGAAAGAGTGTTGCTTGGGGCGTTTACACGGAGTCGGGATGCCAATGAAACATATGAAGTCATGTGACAAAGGTAAAACAACAACCAACGGTGGCGGAAATCCCAATTGATATTTATTCGAAAATGTATATCATATTGTTATTTTTTCCTCAATTCTCAAATGTACTTCCTATTTCAAATAAATGCACTTGAATTTTGTTTTTAATAACAATTATTATAATAATATAGTATAGAATATTAAAAAAAATTAAAAGGACCGGCCCGAACCGGGCCCGGCCCGTGAATCGGGCGGGTGGCCCGGCCCGAACCGGACCCGAGGTTACCCGGGCCGGTTCCGGGCCTCCCAAACCGTGAACCGAGGCCCGGCCGGTTCAAGGCCCGAACCGAGTCCATGCCTAGACTAGCCTAGACCCTGGCCCGCCCCAAATTAAAAAAATGTCTTAATTTTTAGTGTAAAAAATTTTCTCAAAAATGTTCTTTGCACCGACACTAGGGATGGACCGGTTCCGGGCCGGGCTCCGGTCCGGTCCAAACCGGGCTTTTATTTGGGGGGGTGGGGGGGAGAGGCCCGGAACCAGCCCGGGATTCCAGCAGGTCCGATCCGGTTTAATTTTTTTTTGTTATGCTTTTCCAATTAACCCCCGACCCCCCCCACCCCCATCCTCCAACCCCCCCCCACCCCCATCCTCCAACCCCCCCCCCCCCCCCCCCCCTTCACCCCCACCCTCCACCCCCTCCCCCCCCAAAACACCCAGCCCAACCCGGGAAAAAACAAAAAAATTGAAAAAAAAAAACAAAAAAGGCCCGAACAGGGCCTGGCCGGTTCATATTTTCCATGACTCGAGCTCTCCCTTAGAACACCCGGTTCGGGCCTAACCGGACCGGTCTAGGGCCCAGTTGCTGGGCCGGTTCTAAACAGTACCGAGCCGATTGGCCCGGAACCGGTCCATCCCTATTCGACATAATCCGGCCCAATTAGGGATGGAGTCGGGTCAGGCCCGAACAGTCCCAGTTCAAAATAATTGAAGCCCAATACCAATCCCGGTTGGTCTGGTACCGCTCCAGGCCCAAACAGTACCGGTCCCCGGGTCGGTCCCGGGTCAACCCCATCCTTTAATTTATTATTTTTGTAAAATCTTGGTTGGGACCAGCCAGTCTGGTCCCAAGAAATCAGGCCTGAACCCGTCCCATTTCTACGATTCAGGTATCGGGCCGGTATCGAAAAACCAGTATCAGACCGGGCCCAAACAATATTGGTCACAGGTCGGGCCACCTCGGGCCTAGTCCATCCCTAGCCCAATGTCCTGGCTCCGCCCCTACGTTTGACAGTTCGACAGTGACAGTGTGATATAGTGATAAAATAAGTGACAGTGTGATATAGTGATAAAATAAGATACTAAAGAGGTCGTTAATGTATAAGTCCCTCTTCTAATGATATTTTGCTGCAATGCTCTTGTATGGAAAGCCATCCACC